GGTTCTCACTGCCGTGGTTCCTGAATTACAGACTTCAACAGACATATACTTCTCACTTACTAGAAAATTGTTTTTAGAAACCTTTTCATGTACTTGATGTTATATGCAAAGTGCTTAAGACTTCAGGAATATCGTCGGTCAGTCTTGGGCCAAGGTCTATAAAATTTTTTCTTTAAATTCTCTTCAAGTTCGAAAGAGTATAATTACTGAAATCTATGACGGAAATGTTGTCTTGCCAGATAGGTAAAGAGAAAGAGGAAATTCAAGAGATCTTAGGAGGGAATGTGGAGTTCTCCATGGTGAGTTTCACTTCATTCTTTTTGCTACAAAAAGTTTTACCACAGAGTCCGAGTAGACTGGGGTTGGGCCGAGTGAGAAGTTTGATGACTTGGCTTAGGATTCTGAGAATAAAGTTTTGTGACCCACTGGACATCTTAAAATACAAGGCAATGGATGCCTAATGATTTTCGTCGGAACTGCCCACTGGTGACACAGCTTAAAAAATATGTGTTCGACTTAGACTGATTCTTGGAAATGCAGATTCCGGGTTTCATTAATGGGATGGAATATAATTTAAACATATATCTTTTTGTTTGTTTGTATAGAGAATAGAAACAAGCAGACATTTTTATTTTTATTTTTTTAGGTAAAGGGATTTGACAACTACATAATTAAGTGTAAATTTCCCGATGGAGCCAAATCCATTATTTAGATGAAGGTTTGGAGCAGTTCCAATTTAAACAAGGGAAATGCTGTACAAGATAATTTCATAATATGAAAACTGGAAATTACATTTTGCTCAAATTTCAAAATGCCAAAGCGTGGGAAACTTTCAGAAGAGGAACTCAAATGCTTTTCATTTCTCAAGTTACAGAAAAGTATTCTTTGAAGTGTGGTAGTTTCAGAATGTTTAATCACAGTAAATATTCAACAGATCATTTATTTTTCTACATTGATATGCTTCCTACATGTGAGCTCTTGGCTCTCAACAGTCTCCGTGGCCGCTGAGCGGGGGGCTTTTGCCCTGGATGGCTGGTGTCTCCGAGGGGCTGCTCCCCAGAGCAGGGCTGCAGCGCTGCCCCAGGAGCCCGAGTGCTTGGGTTCAATTCCTTGTTCTACCTCTTTTCTTGTGACACGGGCAAGCTACTTATGCTCTCTGTGAAACCATTGTCTCCTCTCTACATGAAAACGAATAATAGTGTCTGCTTTATTGTGTTGTTAAGGGGATAGAATGGGCAAACATTCACCGAGTGTGGAGAATGATGTCTGTGGCATGGTAGTGTTTTGGGGTTTTTTGGTTGTTGTTAAATGAAATTAAAGGAAAAATGGAATATTGTATAGAGCTGTGGAGACAGTTCATGAGAGACCGGAAGGAAGAACCAAAGAAGATGTAAGTAAAGGTCCCAGAAATTAGGTGCCTGCCAAATGGGAATCAACTAAACATTTGAAATCTTACTGTGCTCATAGGGAATGTAGTCCAGACTTATAAAACTACACTAGTTGTGCTGTTCTGTGTGATAACATGATCTTACTTAATTCTGAAAAAAACAGTACTCAGAAGTGGGCCCCATTTTACAGAGGAGAAAATAAAAGTATGGAAGTCAGGCAGTTTGCTGCAAATCACGCAGCCCAGGCCCACTTCAAACCCGCATCATCCGGGTTCCAGAACCCATGCTCAGAACCTGCCTTCTCTCCTGGCTGGAGCAGCCAGAGATAAGGTGAGCACAGAATTGTTTACCGAATTCTGGAGTTTTTGAACTGGGTATAACTGATTGGTGAATGAGAAGAGTCAATCAACTATAAAGTCCATGGACTTGTGAAACTTCTTGCCTTAAAATAAGATACAAAGTTGAAAACAAATTGCTTCAAAACAGTATAATTGGGAGAGACTCAAAGAAGGTAGAATAAAAATTAGAAACAGAAGCCTGTGAAATGCGAATAAACTGCTCTTGCCATTTATAGTCTCCTTTGGGATTTTCCTTTGGATCAGAGTTAATATTCTAAAGGTTCCTGTTGATGTGGTAACCAATGCCATACACATATTGAATAGTATCTGAAAAGATGGGGCAGTATTTGCTTTCACTTGGAATGAAAGTCAAAATGGGAACTCCTGACCTCATAGAAGAACCTCTTACTTCCCACCAAAGTACACCATGGAACTTTCTCAGATTATATGAAATTGTTTTAAAAATTCCGTGCTGAGTCAACCAAAAGCAGTAATAATAAGCTAAAATAAATTAATGCAATTTAACATTAAACGAAGGAATCTGTGTCTGCTATTAAATATAATATTAGAAAGTCTGTGCATATAACTGGAAACAAGCCATTGTTTCACCATATCCGAAATTTTTATATGACTTTCCAGTTTCATGTTTTTATTTATAAAAGTTTAAAGAGCTCAAACACAGACATGTATATAGTAGGAATTGAAAGTAAAGTAAACCCCTCTTACATATACATGCCAGTGGTGTGGGAATATACATGTGTATATTTATTTATTGACACACTGGATCTTTGTTTTATTCTATGTTAGTATATGATGACTTACCTAATTTTTAAAAAGTGTATTATATATAAAGTTATCATAGTTTAGTTGTCACTAATGGGCATTTTGTCCATTTTTTCTCATTAAAAAACAGTATTATGGATCATGCACACATCCATATATTTTTGTGCATTTGTCCCAACATATTTATAGTAGGTTTCCTGGAAGTGGAATGCTGGATCAGATATGCATCAAAATATAGAATGCTTGCTTTCCAGAAAGATTGTACCAATTTAAGGTCTCAATGAGTGGATTCTACAACACCATTACTAAAAATTTTTTACATCAATTCTAAACGTGTACGTGCAAAAGGGCCATGCCATTTAAGTATAAAATTATATGCTTATTAGTGATATAGATCTTTTTATATTTTTATTGTCTACTTGTATATCTCATGCAAGTTGATTTTTTTCCAAGCGTTCTCCATTTTTTTAAAAAGTCAGGCTGCTTCTCTTTACTTTCGACGTGTAAGCTACTTCCCCGAGTTTAGTTCCCACAGTGGGCATTGCTGGCCAGCCGCCATCGCCTAGATCAGCCCCTGGAACCTGCTCTTGTTCACTGTGCACGGCTGCTGCAGCACCTGGATGCATGAAGGCAGGGTTCTCTTATTCTCTGTAGGGATTTTCTCCTGTTTTTAAAGTCCTAGTTAGGGGCTGTCAGTCTTCTTTTCTAAAGAACCAGTTAGTAAATATTTCGGTCTTGCTCCTCTGTAGTCTGCAACACAATTACTTAACCCTGTTGTTGTACAGGGAACCAGCCATAGGCAAAACCCGAATAGGTGTGGCTGTATTCTATTAAAACCTTATTATGGACACTGAAACTTGAATTTCATATAACTTTAATGCAGCACGAGTTTTACTCTTCTGATTTTTATCCTCATAAACATTTAAAACTATAAAAACCATCCTTAGGTCACGGGCTATACAAAAACAGATGATGGCCTGCATTTGACTTGCAGGCTGTAGCTTGCCACACCAGCTTTTAGACTGTTTCTGTGAGGAAGCAGCATGAAAAATGGCCAGGAACCAGCATCTGTAGGATTTCTTGGCCACTAAGGCTTTGGGCAAAAGTCCATTTTGTTTGCCTTGTTTCTGAACTTTTCATCTTTTGGACCTCAGTCTACAAAATTGGGCTTCCTTTTTTTTTTTAAGTTATTGTAAAATGTGGGATGTATTATATGTATTAAAATTTCTAAACTGGAGATAGTGACATGTTCTCTATATAATGAGCACTTCGTAAATAGTAATCTGTCAATCTGTCTTGAATTGGTTCCATTTGATGTTTGATACAGGGGTATATGCTACTATGTTAACGTCTTTGAATAAAGAATTCCTGACAAAGGGTGATTTAGAGTATAATGAAATTTTTATACTATATATAAAAACATAGGTAGTTCCAAACACTTTATAGTTTGTTTGTTTTTGGTGAAAGTACCATCATACATTTAGCATTTCTCATGTTCTTTTCTTTCTCTTGTGAAAGTTGTTGTGTCAGTGAGTTAGTTTAAGCAAAAATGAAAGATCATTCAAGTAAGCCTTTGCCCACTCTGTGGTCTCTTAACACCTCACATGGTCCTGGCACTGTGATGTGGGTATCTTCATTCTACTCTCTACCCCAACTTGCATGGGTTGAGCGGTGGATTTGCCCTTTATTTTCCCATATACAAATTAAGATGGTCAGATATTTATTTGAGGTTTCATTTCTCTTCCAGCTCAAATATCCTCGTATTCTTATGGAACGTGCACACACCTGCATGTGACATGAAAGTGAATTTCATTAGTTTACATGGCAGAAACAGCTGTGGCTGTTGTCCCAGAGCTGTGTAGACTGCGCCTTGGGTTGGACACATGTCCCTGTGCGTCTCTGCTGACTTCCAGTGCTCGCTCATAGCAGGGCCAGAGGAGGAAGTGTGGCAGATTGAGAATAGATGCCATTTAGAGAATTCAGACGAGTTCAATTTTGAACCGAAATTTAGCTGAGCAGAACTTGTGGAGGGTTTGAGTAAAATCCATTATTATTAAAGTTCAGTGAACTTCCTTATACTACAATTCACCCTTTTAATTTCTCCAGTTATAGTTAGATATTGGGATCTATGCCTTCTGTTTGAGAATCACATCTGAGGACTAAAAATAATTAAGATCAATGATGTCACACTCCAAGTATGTTGCATGTTTTGTTTATATGAAAAATAATGAATATGGCTTGAGTGGAACCAGACTACATTTTAAGTCTGACCTGGTTTTTCATTTACATGGAAGTAGTTGATGCGAGATGGCCCCCCCAGAAGAGACTTTCCCCGATGTTCTGTCATAAAGCAGTGTTGCCAGCTCTTCTTTCTCAAATGGGTTTGATGATTGGTGTAAGGGTAAATAGGAAGTGGATCATGGTATCTAACATCTTGGAACAAAAAAATTTCAAACAAAATGTGATTTAGAGTTTAATGTAAATTTTTTGTTTTACACACAAATAACAAATGGACGAATCCAAACATTTTAATCACTTTCCTGTTGATAGATATTCTATGCAAATGCATAATTACATTTATTTTTCTCACTACGGGAAATATATATTAACCTGAGTTGCATGTAGTTTGTAGAGCCAAGTTAATAAAGGTAAGTCAGTGATGGCATTATATTACTAGAGTTGTCAAAATATTAGTAAAACTGTGTTCTCTAGTGTTAAGGAAGTATTTTTTTATTAGAATTCTCCTTATTTTAATAGCTTTGTTTGTTATTCTACACTTTTTATTGAAAAGGTAGTTTTTAAACCTGTATCTTAATGAATATTTAAAAAATCAGTCCACTCTATTACCATTTCAATTAATATAAATCCCTTAGGTCTTTGCTAATAAGTAAAAGTTAGTAGTTACTATTCTTTGTGTGCCCCACTTAAATTTTTATAATGATTATCACAATGGGTCAGCATTTGGTTAGGGACTAGGATTGTATATACATCTTAAGTATAATTTTTGGTTAAAGATTTATCAGATTTATTATTCTTCAGTTGAGTATCTATAGTGAGTTGATTATAACATTGTGATCAATAATGTATTTAAAGAATTATAGTAGGTATTATTATATTGTTACCTATTTTGCCAAAACTCTTTTATTTCATGGATTCTGTGTAGTTTTCGCATGTCACATGGTGATTGGATATAGTTCGTTTTGCTCCATTGCTACATGTCAATTTCTTTTTCTACATTTTAAGATAGCTTTTAATACTGGGAAAGTAAACTAAGATTACTTTTGTAGTCTTCCATTATTTTAAGAGTTGTTGTTATTAACTCAGCTACTACCCAGTCAGCATTAATATTTTTACGTAGTGTTCTCCTGGTAGGAGCTCCAAACACCACTAGATTGAACTGTTACCTCCACTGGTTTACACTGGAGTCTCTTCACTTGGGTCCCTGCCATCTTGTCCTTTTCTCCTGTTTTCATGTGGAGCAGATACTGCAGAATTGGGGCATTTCAGCATACTCATCAGGGAATTTTTGAAGGACTTGCAGAGGAAAAAATAGATGAACGGATCTAGGCACGCATTTAAAGAAGTTAACCAGAGAGTGCTCTCTTTCACGTAGAACAGGGTGTTCTCAGCAGAGCAGTCAAAGACATCCCGGGTTTGGCTGAGGGTGTAGGGAATCCGAGCAAAGTGGAAGGGAACAAAACAAATAAAAAATACAGCAATGATAATGAAAACTTTGATGTTCACCTTTTTCTTGGGGACTTTGCCTACGCCCCTTGTTCTTACATATGACCTGTATAGTTCTTTTGTAATGAGTGTATAACATACAATAACAATTAAAAAATTAATCCAGAAAATAACTTGACAGATATAATTGACTATTTCATGCCAGACCAAACCAAACTCTGATTTGAAGAAAGAACATTTCTTCACATTCTGGTCTCTTGGCCTTTTGTTGGTTAGAATCATGTTAGGCAAAGAGAGTAAGAACATGAATGCCCAGATGACAACAGAGAGAAGCTTAGCCCCCAAGAGATTTTTGGGGCTGGATGTTTTGAATGGCCTGGTGGTCTTCTGGTAGCGATCAATAGTTATCAGGCCCAGGAATGAAATACTGATGTACATTGTGAAGTAAAATACGACAGAGGTCACCTGGCACACAAAAGTTCTCAGAGGTCCTGTTCCCAGTTTGGCATCGCTGAGGATTTTGAAGGGAAAAGTCAGAATCATGAGGAGATCGGAAATGACTGTGTTCTTAAGAAAAATAATGAAGTTGGATTTGCTGCGGATTTGAAAGAAAATCCTCATTGCCAGGCTATTTGTGAAGAGTCCCACGAAAAACAGGACAGTGTAGAGGAGCGGGAAGAGGACCTGGGTGATCTTGTAATCTCGGGCGCACAGGCTGCCGTTCCCAGCCACGAAGGTGACGTTGTTGTCCATGGCCGTGTTTCTCCTTCAGCACCTGGAAGGGGGAGGGAGGGAATGGTCACGTTCAGTCCCAGATAGCTGATTGTGCTCTTACATCGTGTGTAATGTTTTGGACAGCCTTCTTTAAAAACTGAGGTTTCTGATCCTCTTTGTGGCAACTAGTAAGAACACAGAAAACTGAATCCCAGAATATTACATCATGGCAAATATTCTATCTCTAGCAAAGTAAAATGGTCTGAACTGCATGAAGGCATGGATGCTTTGTTTTTTTTTTTTATTTGTTGAATATTTGACTCTCACAGAACAATTTTGGTTTTAGGCAAATACACACAAATATTTTTGTATATATAAAACTAGAAGAGCAGTATTAGGTCTCTGCTTTGTTCTTTTCTAGCTTTTAACTTTTTTGTCCCTTCTTCCACACCATCCTTAATGCCGGACTTCATTTACTATAGCAGCACCATTAAAGAGTTCTAAGGAGAAATGACTAGTAATTGCCTATTAGAATTTTAAAAAGTAAAATATAGATTCAGACAGAAAATTTTCTTTTATAATTGAAGGATATTTCTACCTTTATATTACTGTCATCCATTCAAAAGTCAGCCTCACAGGGACTCATTCTTTAATTCCAAATATAATGGAAGCTAAAATGGAATATTGAAACCATGTGCATGTCTGGTTCTGTAGGTTTTTATGCCCCAACAGGCAGCTAGAAAGAAAACCAACACTTAACCTGAATACACATTCTCTGGCATCTAAATTTTGAAATTTAAAGTGAAATTCATATTATTTTTATTTCATCAAAAACAATGGAATTGACTTCATAAAATATTATTTCTAAATATAAGATATAGTGATGTTAAAATATAAATCTCTAAATTTTTAAAAAAGTGTTCATGCCAAAGGTTTAAAAATGACAAATGAGGGAGAAAGCCAAATTGTCCTCCCCAAATGTCAGTGGATTTTTCTTTTCATCCTTTAATTACAGAAGGTAAAACAATTAAGATTCATGTTGTCACAATTATGGTTTCAGTTTTTAACACCTCCTGACCTCTCACCTGTTTAACCTAAAACAAAAACCAAAAGCAGTATATAATTGATACAATATCACCGATTGTAACCTTCCTTGCTACTCTTATTGGATTTTAGTTGTATATTCATTGATAGTTTTGCAAATTCTACTTTATGAATAGTCATTTTGTGTAGACCATAATTTATTTAACAAGTATTCCTGATATCAAGAATTTCAGCTCCTATATTTAAAGCTCATTTTATGCTCAAAGTAAAATAAGACCATTTGCATTTTATTTCATTGCTCTGTATAAATTTTTAAATGAAATTAATGGTTATCTCTAACACCATTATTGGAGCTTATCTTTTAATTTTTATTCCAAATAGGTGCTTGTGTTGATATTGTTATTAAAGGTTTTCAGTTTTAAGAAAACTTGAAAAAATTTCCACATGCATCACAGTGTAAAAACATATTATTTGTCACATACTTCTAGATACAACGTTACCTGGTTACTCTGTTGATTCTGAAGGATTTGAATGTATCCAGTAAGCAACCTGCAGAGTAGCAGCTGGTATTTTCCTTTTTTATGTCTTAGCTGAGTTGTTAAAGCTCTTTATGACAGAGAATTTGCTGGGTTTTCACAAGTAAAGTCTTGAGGATTCTGGAGAGAAATAGAGCAAGAGAGGAAAAGAGTTCACAATGCGAGATTACCTTCAAATGCTGTGGACTCAAAGCTAGGCAGACACTGGGTTTCCGTTTGGCCCCTCTTATGACTTCTGCTTTTATTTCCTTGGGAAGTGTGGGGTATGGTGGGTGAAGAGTCATCTTTTGAAAAGCAATTAAAATCCTGTGGCTTTTTTACTGAAACCTGCCATATAGTTGATGCCGTATGAGTTCTTTTGGTTATTTTCTCTGTAGAAGATGAATCCAAGCCTTTTGAAGTCAGCTTCCTGGAAAAGGTTGCAAGCTTACTTTGCCTAAAAGGTACTGCGCTCAACATGGGTGATACATTACGTTGTAACAAGTAATTACATTAACTGGAAATGTGTGCTTGTTAGGGATGTTAAGTCTCTTGCTCCTTGCTTTTTTTCCTGTTTCATAATGTCATTATTTTAAATCTGTGTTTGATCAACTTTTTGTAGGTGAAGCAGTTTCCTCCCATTATAAATTATGATTCCAAAATTACATTAGAAAGAAAAACAGCTGTATCCATTTCCAGACTTATTACATAAGCATAGTTCATGCTTTTCTTGAGCAGAATTTACATAGAAACAATTTGTTTTCCGTTTAACCTAGGTTTTGGTTTTGGGGAAATACTCCTATATCATTAAATTCAGGGATTCATGTATGTGTAGTACATTGATACAGTGTTGTGAGTGTGCATATACACCCCCCCACACACACACACACACACTTCTAACTGTAATCTCCTCCATTACCGGAGAACTTTTGGAGTAGATGCCTTTGCTGTGAAGATACGTTTTGGTTATTTCCTTCTAAGTTGTGTGTGTGTGTGTGTGTGTGTGTGTGTGTGTCTGCATTTGTTCATCTTCAACAGTGGTTCTCAAGTGCACAGCAGTAGTGAGGCTTCACCTGGAAAGTCATGGGAAATGCACATTCTTGGGCACTAAACCAAGTGCCAGTGAGTCAGAAACTCTGAGTGCACCCTTCACCAGTGTTTTAATGAGTCTCCCATGTGATGCTCATGCACACTAAACTTTGAGGACCACTGATTTAACTGACAAAAGAGTTTTATTTGCATTAAGAATTTTAAATCAATCTATGAATTTGAGTAATTTTATTTGGAAATTTTAGTTACTTAATTATCTTGATCTGTCAGTCATCAAGAGGTGTCTACTTGATATTAAACTCTTGGAAAAGTAGGTATTAAGTTATTTTTATTTAAAAATTTGACTATTGCAATGAACAAGTCTTATTTGTTGAATTGGAGACACAAACTTATACTTTAACAGGACTTTTATGCTATGTACACTTCAAAATAATAATAGCCAGTGTTGATTTCATATATCATCATGAATTAATTCATTTTGTGGTCTCAACTACTCTCTGAAGTAGATATTTATATCATTTCTACTCTCTGGATGAGGGAAGCTGAGGAAGGGGACAGTGAATTAATTAGAGACCCAATTCCAAACCGTGGGATCTGTCTGATCCCAGAGCCTGCATTCATAACTACCAAGAAGTTGCTACTAAATCTTCACCATCTCACAGTCTCCAAGCCCCTAACCAACCCCTACCCCACACGAGGCCAAGGAGTGAGAGGTGAATGCCACGAGCAGCTGCACTTCTTGCAAGAAAGCAGGAATCATATTTGCCTTTGCAGCAAATTGTAAACTCTAAAGGGGCTTATGAATTGCTTCTAAGGTCTGGAGCTAAAACAAGACTTGTGGGGGAAAGCATAACTACTTTCAACAAATTAATGTATTATATTCCAGGAACACTAATTCAGGATCCTTAAATCATGTACTTCATTGTGAATCTGTATTTGTGAGTTCCCAGAGGGCTGTGAATAGGTATCTGAAGGGCGGAGGAAAAGCTCCAGCTGTTCCCTCTGGTTTTAACTCACAGCCACACCTGTCTGGGAACTTTCTCAGACTCTTTTCTCATTGGAGGATGGCTGCCAATTACCCGTTTCGATAACTTTACCCTGAAAGTGACTAAAATCTTTTAAGTGAGAATTGTCTCAGGTTACAAAAGTATATTATACGAGTAGAAGTTGAGCAAGTTATGCAGTTTAACCTCTCATTAGTAAACAACAACAGGCAGTTTGTAATTGTATAACTATTGGGAGGAGGACTAGCGTTGATTGATTTGGTTATTTTCAGTGATTGAGATGACTTAGAAAAATAAACTTACATGCAGGTGATTTCATTGGTTTATTTATTTTGCCACGTCTGCCTAAAGGCTATCTGCTTATCTGAAAATATTTACTGAATGAGGTCACTCTGTGTCCCTTTGGGATCGATTTCTGGCAGGAGGATGGAGAGGTAGCTCTTAGGCTGTCAGGGTTTGTAAATGTGGTCCTTTTGACATTAATGGGTGTTCCTATCGAACACGTGTATCTTAAGGCGGTGCTTACTTATGTTATCCAGCTCGGCTTTTCCTGTTAAGAGTATAGAAATTTAGGTTAGGTAAAAGCCAAGTTCCTGATAACTCTGGGACTTCTGCCAATATGGGGGCATAGGTGGAAATACTTTGCTTCCTCGCACAACCAAATCTAAAACAACGAAATTTTAACAACAATAAACGCAACCAAACCACAGAAAATCAAACAATACGGAGTCCAAAAACAACGAACCACTCAGCTAAACTGGTGAGAGGGGCAAAGCCAGCAGCGGAGTGGGTCAGGCAAAAAGGATCCCCCAACCTGGGTGGCGCACAGGTAGCCGAGGGCACGGATCCCAGGTACAGGGTAGTGACGGAAGGACCTAGGCAAGGAAAGGTGCGGTGCGGCTGGCTGTCTGAGGTCTCACATTTGCGCTCAGATAAACCAGTAAAGAGATGTGCATTGAGACAGACTGTGCAGGCCCCCGGCTCAGGGCGGTGGGCTCGCACATTTCCGCTCTGATAAACAGGCGGGGGCAAGTGGTGAGGTGGACTGCGGGAGCGGAGAGGACCGCCATTGCTCCCTCTCTGACCCTGCTCCCACATACAGCTTCATAAACCAGCGACCTAGGTGGCCCCGCCCTGGTGAACACCTAAGGCGCCTCTCCTCATACGTAACAGGCACAAACAGATAAAAACATGGCTCAAGAACAACTCAGAGCCCCAGAGCTGATAAATCTAAGTGACGAAGAAATAGCCAAACTTTCAGATGCACAGTTCAAAACACTGGTGATCAGGATGCTCACAGAACTGGTTGATTTTAGTCACAAATTAGAGGAACATATGAAGGCTAAATTAATTGAAATGAATGGAAATGCACAGGAAACCAATAGTAATGGAAAGGAAATTGGGACTCAAATCAAAGGAGTGGACCAGAAGGAAGGAAAAAATGACCAAACAGAAAAATATGAAGAAACAAGAATTCAAAAAAATGAGGAGAGGCTTAGGAACCTCTGGGACATCTTTAAACGCTCCAACATCCGAATTATAGGAGTACCAGAAGGGGAAGAGGAACAGTCACGAGTGGAAACCTTATTTGGACAAATAATAAAAGAGAACTTCCCCATTCTGGCCAAGGAAATAGACTTCCAGGAAATCCCAGAAGCTCAGAGGAGTCCCAAAGAAGTTGGACCCAAGAAGGAACACACCAAGGCACATCATAATTATATTAGCCAAGATTAAAATGAAGGAGAGAATCCTAGAAGCAGCAAGAGATAAAGGGATAGTCACCTACTAAGGAGTTCCCATCAGACTGTCAGCTGATTTCTCAAAAGAGACCTTCCAGGCAAGAAGGGGCTGGAAAGAAGTATTCCAAGTCATGAAAACCAAAGACCTACAACCAAGATTGCTCTATCCAGCAAAGCTTTCAATTAAAATGGAAGGACAGTTAAAGTGCTTCTCAGATAAATCAAATTCAAGGAGTTCATCATCACCAAGCCCTTATTATATGAAATGTTAAAGGAACTTACCTAAGAAAAAGAAGATTAAAAAGATGAACTGTGAAAGGACAGCAAACTCACAGTTATCAACAACCACACCTAAAACAAAAGCAAATTAAGTGGACAGCTAGATCAGGAGTGAGCCATAGAAATGAAGATCACATGGAGGGTTAGCAACAGGGGAGTGGGAGAAGGAGAAGTGGGGAGAAGGTACAGAAAATAAGTAGCATAGATGGTAGATAGAAAATAGATAGGGGGGAGGGTAATAATAGTAGGGGAAATATAGAATCTAAGAACTTGACACATGTTCATGAACTAAAAGGGGGGAATAAAGGGGGGAAATAGAACAAATGCAATGGCATAATCAAGAAAATAAAAAATATATTTTTAAAAAAAGCCAAGTTCCTAAAGTAAGGAGTCTTGGGCATTGGGGTTTTTAGTGAATGGGAGTGCAGACTCTGCCCATCTAATTATTTGTCACCCCCATCTCAAGTGCTTTGCTTGGAAATAGAGGACTAGTATATTTAGTTAAATACCTTAAGATCAGTTATGCTTCTGGGATGCACTGAGCATGTTGGATAAGGGCCTCATTTCAGCTATTCTGTGGACTAGAAGCTATTGTAGAACAAAGATTTGCTATGCAAATCAAATTAAAGGGGTTTCATATTTTCTTGATTTAAAGAAAAATTTACTCCAATTCAGGTGGGGTTACTGATGAGAAGAAGCTGCTCATTTCCTGTTCCTTGAACACAGCCTCCTTCTTGCACATGGACATACCCATTCTTCAACCCAGCCCAAGGCTCATTACTGATACAGCATTTATTTGAGGTTATTTTATTATGAACAGAATAATGTGGTATATTGAAGAATTCAGCTACAAAAATAGTGGTTGGAAGCTTCTTTTAAGAGTTTTTTTATTTTCACAGATGAACTAAAACTAAAATTTTATGTAAATTTATTGTTTTTTTAAAGTGGCTTTTACTACTTTGTTGGAGATGATATATACAGAGTTTGCATTTGAATATTTAAACATGCAAATTAAAGATGGTTGAGGAAATTAGAAATGCTTAATTTTATCATATCAGAGTGAGACTCTTATTTCCCTCTAAAAAGAATATTAATTTATTAATTTAAAAATCCTACATTCATCAGGTCTCTATAGAAATAATCAGAACATATGAATAAGGAGAGTACATAGTTCTGATAATCTAGCCACATTTTCACATCTGTATGAACGAACACACACATGTTTGGGCCACATTTCTAATCACTTATTTGACTCAGAGCAGACATCAATTTAATTAACTGCAATTCTTCCTTCTAAAGATATCTGGATCAAGAGACATATTTTAATTTCTGTAGTATAAAAGGTCTTTCAGGATCTTTGGACATGTCTTCTCCTAGTTCCTTTCAATTAAGTCTTTGCAGTAGAGTATCTGGAGAAAGAAAGTAGTCGATCTGAAGATTTTCAGAACTCAGTTTACAGGGGAAATGAGCTGCTCCGCCCAAGGACAGCAGTGGCCTGGCCTGAAAGGGATGGGCAGGCTTCTGTGGATTCTCCAGTTGATTTTTTCTCCTGCCACATAAATGTGTCTTTCAGGAAATAAATAGGATGATTCTTTGGTTCTCATCTCCAGTCATTAATATTCCTTACAACTATGCAATTTGAGGGTATTTTAATTCCCAGTTGAAAGAGTAGAACTCATTGGTGCCTTTGGGAATATTTGGTCTATTTTCTTAGGTTGTTTTAATTCTCATGTAGTAAAACTTGGTGTTTGAAGACTTGTATATTTTCTGCATGTTCAGAAAATTGACATAAATCAATCTCATAGGCCAGCAATTTACAACATTTTTCATCTCATGGCACTCATAAACTAATTACTAAAATTGTTTGGCACACCAAAAAAAAACCCTTTTATGCTGGTCTGACAAAAAATAAGTATAATTTTCATTCATTTATACCGTATGAATGAGGGTTGGGTCTTTCAGGGTAATTTTTTAATTTGACAATCTGAGGGAAAAGAAGTTAGTGCCCCTGACTAAGTAGTCAAGTATTGCATGTTTTAAAAATTCTTGCAGCACAGCAGCTGAAAATCGCCGTAGTGGGCTATTAAAAAAGAGTTCCTTTTAGAAGTCTTTGTCTTTCCATTTTGAAGAGTGGTGATGGCTATCATGATTTTCCTAAAAATATTAACTCTCAGAAGCTATCCCTACTATATTACTGTCCATGCCCCATACAGAGATGACCAATGGTTGTTTTTAACTGTCCTCACTCCACTCATGACTTTGCTTCTAGCCCGGCTCCTGGAGCATGTTGGGGCCAACACACTGATAGAAGCTTCTTCATGTCACTCAGTTCTCCACCTACGGATTTCTATGTGTTTTTATCAATTTTCTTTTTACCCTGCGGTTAAGTAGAAAGGTGTGCCTCCCTTTCTTTCCTAGTTAAGCCAGAGAAGAGACTGTTGTTTTCTCTCTCTTTTATCAGTTATCTGCCCTCCACTCTGGATATCCTTTATGGAAACTTTATGTGGAACATGGCTGTGAAACAAGAGGTTGCCACTGATTATCCTAATACACAACTTTCTCTTTCAGGCTGTTGTTCTTCATACCCAACTACAAGTCAGTGTGGGTCACTTCCTTCACCTTCGAGTATTTCTCCGCCTGCTCTTACTGCAACTGCTCATTTCCTGCTTTCGGCCCCACCACTGTAGAGAAACTTCTCTTTTGAGGTTCACACACGTTTTTTAAATAAACACATCAGAGAAGCCACATCCATTGACTCCTTCACTGCATTTGATACTCTTGATGACACCCCTTGTTCAGCGTCCCCTTCCTGACATATGTGACCCTGACTTATCTGGTGCTCTTACTGATTTTAGAGAACGAGTGTGCATCATTTGGCTTCTTTACCCTCCTCACTGTCTCACCCTTCTTTGCTTCCGCCAAGAGAATTTTGGGGTTTGGCCTTCTCTCCCAGTGATGCATTGCTCTGATCCCCAAGTTGTCACCTCTCTGTGGGTCTCCACATCAAACCACCCACTAAATATTCAGAAAACATGTGTACCTACCCCTCGAATTCCTCTCCCCTAAAGGAGAATCCATGAGCTCCCTGCCTTTATTCCCTACACTTTTTTTTTCTTTTAACATAGTTTGTCTGGTGAGTACATCTTGAAATCCAGTTAGATAATCATTCACCCAGATGCTTTCCTAACTTCGTTCAAATACCTCTTGAATTTGCTTTTTATTTTGTATTCCCACCACTAAGAGCTGGTTTACACCCTACAAATGTTTTTACTCTTTCTCTTTGCTTCTCATTTCAGTTTTGTCACACTTACAAAGCTAATTTTCCTAAAAAACTAGTTTTTGTTTTTATCTTCATTCCACTCTAATCTTTTAGTCATATGGTCTTTCATTAATCCAGTTACGTATTCATTATTTTGTATAATCAACTAATGTTAAGTACCTAATCAGTGCCTATTGAGGATATAAATATGACTGAAATATACCAGGGATTCCCTTCACAAAATGAACAGTCCAGTGGAGCAGACAGACAGTAAACAAATACCTAGGAAATAACTGAGTGACACTGTGATACATGCTCTCCGAAGGCTCCCTTTTCCTCCTGTGGTGCAGGCTTTCACTAAAGTGAGGTGATGGAGTGAGGGACCTGAAGCTGTAATTGTTCACAGTCTTCCCACAAGTGAAACTGAGGCTGTTGAGAGTATTTTAGGTGGTGGAAGGGAGAACAGCAGAGGAGGGAAGTGCCCAGCCTCTTTAGAAAATGTTGAGTAATGGGGTACAGTGTAAATATGAAGTGTGTGCAAGAGGGAAGGGGAAGTCTAGGAATATGAATGGACAGCAGTGGTGCTACTAAGTATTTTACATTCTTCACCTCAGTTATTCTCACAGAAACCTACAGGGCAGGTGGTGCCACCTCGTTTTTCAAAGGAAGAATCCGAGGCTCAGAAAGGTTCGTTACCTGGGGCCCTGGAGCTGGACTTGAGTGCAGCCCCAGCTCTCTCACCCCAGCTCTCACTGGTGTCCTCAGAGCCCCAGTCTCCCGCCTGTTTGTGAGGGTCACATGGGTCTTTCCCAGACCCCTGCCCTCACTATCCCCTGCTTAGGCTTCCGGCTCTGCACATACTACCTTTACTATGTGACGCCGAATCTGCACTCCGTGAGGACAAGGAACTGTATCTGTCGTCCTTGCCTTCTTCTCAGGGTCCCTAGTGCCTTGTCTTACTGCAACTGGATACTCTATAAACTTTGTTGCTAACAACATCTTTCTGTCATGCCTTACACAGAAGTTTTCACTAGAAGCATTTGATGACTGGGACCTTAACTGTAAACAGTCCCAGGGCAAAGGACTGTCACTGCTTGGGTTTTGTGTATGAAAGATTTCCATTTACTTATTTTGAGAGGGGCAGGGAGGGAGAAAGAAAGAGGGGGAGAAACATCAATGTGTGAGATAAACATCAGTCAGCTCACAAACCCATCAGCTGCACGCCCCCAACCAGGGACCTGGCCCACAGCTCAGGCACTGGGAATGGAACCTGGGGACCTTTCCGTGCGCAGGATGACGCCCGATCCACTGAGCCACACCACTCAGGGCACTGCCTGGGTTTACAACAGTTGTCTCAGTGCCCTCTTGTTCCCTTTTTAAGGTTCATATGTGCACATCCCACCAGACGAAAGAAGAAACATATCAGCAACTCTGTGTGACAACAGCAAAAACAAATTAACAAAGAGTTCAGGTCATTCAGACGTGCATCCAGGTGTAGGAGTCGCTCCCTGTGTTGACTTTTTCCTATGGTCTGTGAAGAATTTGGGGGAGATTTGGATACTCAGGATATATGAAATGACAACAGCTTCTAGGAGAGATTTGTTCCTAGCTGTCTTTTTTCATTTTTAAAGGAGGCAAGTTTGAACACCTGAAACAATAATTATTTGGGGATGGGGCAGCAAGATAGAGTGGCAGGGTGTACAAATGTAGATTTCTGGTAGAATATAATTTAAAAAGAACCAGAGCAAGGAGAAGTGGTGCCTTGAATTCAAGTGTGCGAGAGAGAAAGGGTGACAAAGAGAGACTGAGAGGAAAGGGACAGAGACAGGTTTCAGGCTGAAGAAGCGCGCTGCCACTTGGTGCGCATGCGCGGGTGTGGAGTGCTCCACATTAAGCACCGCGCTTCTCCACGTCTCAAGCATTTTACTCGTTTTGTAGCCACTACTAATTATGACCACAATACAGTTTGTGTTTCCTGGGAGATGTTCTTCTCTCATGCTTGAGGATTAGATGCTGTTAGGGAGGGGAAGGAAGCACCCACCATGGACAAACATGTAGAAACAAAGAAGATGGACTGAAGGAAAGAGCTGGGACTTATCCCGAGAAAGTGGGAGCACGAGAGATCTGAGAGAGAAAGGTAGAAAACTTCAAAACCACGTGGGTCAGAGGATGCACCCTGGCCTATTTAACTTTGGCTAAGGAGTGTGTTTAGCAGCATGTCCATGTTTTTGTTTTGCTGTGACTAAATAATTTCCCATCCCATGTGGGAGAAATAGTGCTTAAATTCACTGTCTGAGGGCGGGGCGCTGGTCCAGAGGAGAAAGGTGGTGTCAGACAGAATGTGTTTGCGTTTGCAGCTGTTGACCTCACATCAGATGAGGCCCACCTACTACATACTGTCTCGTTTGCAAATAACCATGTATATGTGTCTTACACAGTCGTGTTGAAAGTAAATGGAGCATTTTTATAAAAAGTACTTGAGCCTTCTAGGAAGGTCTTCTTTCTAAATAGGAAAGATTTAATGATTCTGTACATAGAAAACCAAACTTACTAGGAAATAACATTTTCTGTAAAGGATCAGTGCAAGTAGATAGTATGTAAATATGATGTGAAATTAACACCATGCAAAAATTTTAACAGTGAAAAGTTTTTCAATAGTCAAAACTTACTCTGTAGGGTACGCCCACATCAAGTGCTTCTATTAAGACTTCAGGTCAGTAGACACCTTTTTTTAAAAAAACTTTAGCAAGTTCCGAACTGGAAAAACAAGGGTGTTGCCAGTGGAGGTTGAGGTGAATTGAAAGACGGGCGGGCAGGGTGCCGCCACCTCAAGCCGAACCTGGAGATGCTGTGGTTAGTGCACTTCGTGAGCAGGACACGCGGCCCTGCTGCTGCCGACGAGGCTTTTAGAGTGCATTTTCTGTTTTTCAGGACGAGTCTTCAAGTCATGAATGTAACCAGCGCACAATCCTTCTCTACGGAGTGGGCAAAGAGCGTGACGAAGCCAGGCATCAGCTGAAGAAGATTACCAAAGATATTTTAAAAATCCTAAATAAGAAGAGCACCACGGAGACTGGGGGTAAAGAGCCCAAACTCATTCGCTTCCATTGTGCTGTCTTATGTCTTCCCTCTTAGCACAGCCTTTTATCAGAATGGCACACGGCACTGTCCCCAGAGCGTTTCCTCTCCTGGATGACTGTCACATTGAAATATGAATAAGCACATTGACATTTTAAGGCCTTTGTTCCATTTATAGTAATCCTGGTTACTAAAAGAGCATGTTCTATGGATAGAAGTAGGTAGTTTTTATTTTCTACTTCTTCAAATACTTCTTAAGTTTTCTACCAGAGTGAGAAATGAAGTATTGAATAAGTTGGAAACCCCTTATTTTGGAAGCGTTTCCTTGCCCCCCCCCTTCTTACCATCTTTTTTCCAGCTTGTGGTTTGCTCTGGGTCCTCATATTTGCATGGTCATTGAAAACCATGACAGTGTAGTTGCTGATCTTTCCTTACATTATTTAGAAGAATAATTGCAGGTAATAGTGGCCCCTCATATCACCACATGATTTCAAGTAAAAAATAAAATTAGGTGTTTACTCTCAAATGCCTCCTTTACTTGGAATACTCTTTTCCCTGGCTCTTCACATAGTTTTTACAGTGAAGCTGTGCCTTTGTATTATGTTACCACATTGCATAACTGAAATTTTATAATTATCCATTTCATATTTGCCTAATTAATCTTTTCAAGGTTTGTTTATGTTATTAGGCAGTCATATGATTTCAAATATGATCTCATTATATATACTGCACTACCACCAGAGGTGTTTATTTCTGTTACTTAAACAGTACAAAGGGGGAAAAGTTTTCATTTTCCCTGTGCAGGCAGCATACTTCCTACATATGGTCTAAACCACCTCCAGAAAACGTACTGTGTTGTTCAGTACAGAATAATGCTCTTTTATGAACCTCTGCACAGGGGAAGGATCTTTTGGACTTGAACCAGATGAATTACTGGATAAATTAGTAGAGTTTGTTCATGCTACATCTTTGCTACAGGAAAGCATAGACAAAATTAATACAAATAGCCATCCTTCCTCTCCATTAGTAGAGGGGCAGAGGCAAAACAATGTACAAGGGCAACCCTCTTTTCACTCTGAATGTGACGCTGAGGGCATCTGAATTGCAGGTTAGTCCTTAGAACACTCGCAGTGGAAAAGTTGCCCTCCTGTGATTTGCATCCCTTTTCCTAAGTTCCTCCTATTGCCAGTTAAGGGCCTTGTACTACACCAGCTGCTCAGGGGACGAGCATAAGGTGTAGAAGGGAAACGAAACCCTGTTGTTGTTTTGACTGGTCATTTTTCAGCTTGAAAAGGACAAAACTGCTGTAAGAAAAACTGTTGATCTGTCCCTTGGCTCTTTTCTGTCTTAGAGAAAAGAGGAAATGGGTCACACTTAGAAGGTTGAATTTAGAAGCTCTGCAGGTAGGGAGTAAAGACTGTAGAAAGTACTTTTTTGTTTACTTGAAAATGGGATGGACACTATCTCATTGAAAAGGTTCAGTAATACAGTTTTTTAAAAATCTAAATTAGTTTTAGAGTCTTTCAAGAGCCTATGGAATTTGGGGGTTTTGGAAAACTGAGAGGGATGGGAAGAGGAAGGAAGCAGTGTGGTATCTTTTTCTGTTGAGTCTACTTCCTTCCTTCACAGTTTTTTATCGCCAGACTGTAGTCTGTGCTATCTTTGTATCAGCCTCTTAAGCAGGCAAGTCTTGTTCATGAACTCAAGAGGCAATCACTGTCGTGCGCTGCGTTTGGGACATCAGTGATACAAACACCACTTTGAAGAGGAATCTTCAAAGGGGATTTTTGTCTTTCCCTCATTTTACGTAAAATTCCTCAGCCAGAAGTATCTTACTTTGGTGATATAGTGACCTATCTTCTAATAGTTTACCTTTAGGTCACTCTTTAAAACCTAGTGTGCCCAAGAGAAGCTAGCTACCTACCTCTCAGATTAATGGAAAATTGCCCCTTTTGTTTGTAAAGGTGAGGATTGGTAAGGCAGCAAAACAAAGCTTGTGTAAGCATGTATTTGATTTCTGGCTACATATAAAAATAAGATTTTGAGGAATTCATTGGGAGTGTTCTCACATCATCCAGGCCTTACTGAAGGGTATTTATAATCTGAAACTTACATGACATTTCCAGTTAAAGATGGTCAAACCATGTTTTACATTCACATTGATTCGTCATGTTTGGTTTTCAATGGTGAATCTTTTGAAAAGATTAACGAAGTTTACCAGACTAGAAGGTCAAAATTTGTGGGATTTAAAGGTTTCAAAAAAAGGACAACCTTGTCCTGACCCAGTGACTCAGTTGGTTGGAGCATTATGCTGTGCACCAAAAGATTTCAGGTTCGATTCCCAGTCAGGGCACATACCTAGGTTGCAGGTTCAGTTCTTGGTTGGGACTTGTACAGGAGGCAACCAATTGATGTTTTTCTCTCTTTTCCTTTCTCTCTGTCTAAATTCAATAAAAACATACCCTCAAGTAAGGATTTAAAAAAGGACAATTCAAATGAAGTAACTGAAGAACAATAATATCTACTGTGCAAGCTAATTAACATAAAACAGATGAGGAAAATCTGAATTATGACTTATATGAATATCATTAAAATAAAACATTGACAACCATCACTATTTTTTAATTTTTTTACAAATTACCAAGAATCAATAGTATCTTTTACAAAGGTAATTTGTATTCAATACAAATTGAATGCAATAATTTGTATTCAATAATTTGAATACAAATTATCAAGAATCAATAGTATCTTTTATAAAGGTTTCAAGAAGTCAGCTCTATGTAAATAAATAGAGTATTAGCGTAAACAAACAAAGCATGCATTTGTGAATTCTCACGCTGGATCTACTTCCTCATATCTGTTATTTTTGTTTGTGTTTCTGCTTGGGTCCCAGGAAGGAGTAAATCATTACATTAACTTCAGTTTTAAAGCACATTATAGCCAACACTGTCGATGTGAGCTTTCAGCCTTGGATCGGCGATGTTAGTCAATGAAAAATTCAAAACTTGGATATTTTAAACATGCTTATGACACATGAGCAGCTATATTTGAAGGCATTATTCCACATTTAATTTGTAACTTTGAGCTTATATATCAGAAAACAAGTATGTTTAATGAACTTACTGATTCTCCTTTTTGTGTTATTGTTGGTGCTATTTGATAAAAGTGGTACAGTCTTATACTTCATGTTACTCAGCACCTTTTAATTCTGATTCACTCTGGTATGGGGAGTTGTTTATTTGTTTGTTGTAGGAAATAAAGACCGAACAGACTGGGTTTATATTTGAGGGGAAGGCACTGAGGGCTTAAACTATAAGTGCTTATTATTAAAAGAGAAGTATCTTTTCCTCTAGTGTTATTTTTAACACCATTGCATTTGTCATTAATAAAATATCTTTGGGTTCATTGAAATCTTTCTTGTGTTTTTAACAGAGGTGTGCAGTAACCTTTGTTCTCTGAAATTAAACTTTTTCAAATAAGATGTGAGGGATTAGGCACACACACACACACACAAACCCTCCTAGACACAACATAGATGGTTACCAGAGAGGAAGCGGGGTGGGGCGGGCAGAACAGGGTAAAGGGGAAGAAAAAGGTGTAAGGGCAGTGCCCTTGTTAGAGATCATGTAGCCCAGCCTTTCCTTTGTGTTTCTACATTTGTTTTTATAAATACATATGTTCAGAAATATTTTTAAAGGGATTTAATTATTTCTTGGATGTTATCTTTTAAATTCTTACAAAGAACAAGAGTTCTTCTGGGATAGCAGTATTTATAAAAATTTTTGTTGGAATTTTTTCAAACTTCTTTATGCTAAATTGATTAAGCGAAACACTTTCCTGTTAAATGTGGAGGAATTTTATTATTCTCTACCCCTAAAAAAGTTAGGAATTGTATAAATTTCCTTTTTTTATGAACTCAGCTGTTTGAGGAAACTATCATAGAAAGTCTTTTAAGAAGATGCCAGTGAAGCTTCTTATTATATCAGAATGAGCCTGGGTGACTTTTTCTCCTTCGTTGCTGAGATCTTTCTATTTCAAAAGTCAGTTCATTAGCAATGTCCGTGCAGGTGTTTCTCTTTGCAGCTGAGATCTGGAAACAATGTGCCACAATGGATATATAAATGGCGGTATAGTCAAACATGGAAATACTGTACACAAGTGGGAATTACCAATTTTTAGGACAAATTAAAATTGCAACAAGATGTATTAATCTTAGAAACACAGTGTTAAGTGAAAGATGCCAGATAGTAGATGTATATATTGTATGGTTCTGTTCATGCAAAGTCCCAAGGTGGGCAGTGTCCATCTAAGTTGATAGAATTTGGGATCTTGTTCCCTGGAGTGGGGGGAGTGACCGAAGGGGCCCAGTGCACTTTCTGGGATTCCAATATATGACTTCATGTTTGAATTTCATCATCTGAGTGTATTTACTTTTTATAAATTCATAAAGTTTATGTACTTTTTCATGTGTATGTATGTTCCAATAAAAACAGTAACATTAAGAAGCCAAGAGTTTCTGTGCAAATGAAGCTAATGTGTCTACTGTGTGTTTGTTTAGGTGGAGATGATGGACAAAAAACCAGGAAGAGCAAGCAGGAAGCATTCCCAACACTGGAGACTGTGTTCACCAAACTTCAGCTCCTTTCATATTTTGATCAGCATCAGGTGACATCCCAGGTAGCCATTTAACGCAGCTGCTTATGCATGTGGATTCTCATATTTCCTTAAAAGCCTTTTCTGCAGTATATGTTTCAAGCTGTAGTTGCTTTTAATACCTATTTGTTGGTTTTTAAAACATATTTGGGAGCATCTCAAACTGTCTAATAGTTCAGTTTGAAGTGTCAGGTTGTCACTATCAGAAGAATTAATTTTTATTATGAAAATATGTTTATCTTCTAAAAATATCACCATTGTATAAAAATTCCTAATGCAATACTTATGTTATTACATTATGGTCCTACATTGCTATTAACAAGACAGAAATCTGTTGATGACAAATAAAATACTATATAATTGAAAATAAACTTTTAATTCACAAAACTGTTGATATTCAAATATGTGTTATCTGGAAATTAATTAATACTTATAGTTGTTCTGCCTTGAGGGTAGTTGGGTCTAAATCTTAATGGCAATATGGTTTATTCAAATTATAGTTATAGTAAGGAAGTCAATTTGTACATGATTTTGTTTTTTGTAGAAATGTTTTAACTTCTAAGTAGAATCACATAAATTCAGATATATTAGTAAAAAATTAAAAGAACTGAATAAATAAATTGTTTGGAATACTGGTCTTAAAATTATTTTCACTTTTGTTTGCGCAGATCTCTAACAATGTGCTGGAACAAATCACAAGCTTTGCATCAGGGACATCCTATCACCTCCCATTGGCTCACCACATTCAGCTCATCTTTGACCTCATGGAGCCAGCCCTGAACATCAATGGACTAATTGACTTCGCAATACAGGTGTCAGAGAGACACTGCTTCTCTCCTTTTTAGGAAAACAAATCTACCAGGCACCATACAACATAAAATGAGACACCCAATGTGTTTTTGAACAATTGAAACATCTATCCATCTAGCATTTTAATTGCAGTTTTTTTTGATAGTTTTCAATTAAATAATTATAATACTGTGCTAAAATATATAATAGTCATTTTAAAATATGAGTATTTTAAGGGTATTTTTTAAGATCTTATTTATTTATTTTTAGAAAGGGGAAGGGAGGGAGTAAAGGGAGAGAAACATACATGTGCAGGAGAACAACCATCAGTTGCCTCTCGCACACCCCCGAGCCAGGGACCGGGCCCCACAGTGCAGGCATGTGCCTGACCAGGAATCAAGCTGGCGGCAACCTTTGAGTTTGTGGGATGGCACCCAACCCACTGAGCCAGATCAGTCAGGGCTTGGTGCAGTTTTTTTTGTCTTTTGTTACTTGGTTTAGGAAAGGGTGAAAGTTTATTTTGCTGTTTATTATAGAGTATATTTTATGTTAAGAGCAAAAAAAATTAAAGTCTTATTCTTTTCTGCTATATTTTTGTACATATACTTGAGTTTATTATCTTATGTTGTTAGTAAATGAAAATGAAAGTTGGTTTTATTGCTTATTCTGTTGGAGGTGTTAGCTTTCTTAATAAGAAGAAAATAATGGTTGAAAAATCTCTTTTTTAGTCAAAAGAAGGGGAAAAGGAGAAAAAAAGTGAGAGGTAGGATGTTCTCTGCAATTATTCAGTCTAGAACCTCAGACTGCCATAAAGTTTGGTAACTGCTTCCTGATTGCATGATGTGCCATGGTTTCTAGACAAGAAAAACTCCATAATTTGATAAAGGATTAAAAATAAAAGCCATTTTAATTTACTGGGATATGTTTTCTGAGACTAGTTGTATATGTATATAGTCCTGGAGCAGCCAGATAAAGGATTGATGTGATATCAAGTATTACTAGAATAACTCAGTCTATGCATGGCTTTTAAAAATAAATGTTTTCTTATTTGCTGTGGCAGCTACATTTTCATTCAGTCGTTTCTCTCCTTGTAGCTGCTGAATGAACTGAGTGTTGTAGAAGCCGAGCTGCTCCTGAAGTCCTCCAGCCTGGCAGGCAGCTACACCACGGGCCTCTGCGTCTGCATTGTGGCAGTGCTCAGGCGGTACCATAGCTGTCTGATCCTGAATCCCGACCAGACAGCCCAGGTGTTTGAAGGGTTAGTATATATAATAACATCATTATTTTACACATTCTGTAATGTATAGCTTGTGATGAAAATATTACAGTAGTTTTAAGAGAAAAATAGTACTGATGTTTATTTCTATAAAAAGATATAGCATAGCTAAAGAATAATTTTTCAAGAAAACATGTACCAAGAAGGAAGTATAAGCCTGAAAATAGTATGTTTTTCTTAATAACGTGTGATTCCTTTCCTCCCTTTCTCTTTTCCTTTCTGTGTTCCCTCTTGCCGTACATCCTCCCTCTAGTTCCTGTGACTAAAACCAGTCATTTATAGCACTCTGTCATCTGTGCTACCCATTGAGCATCATGGATAATTTTGAATGGTGCATACATGACAACTTTTTTGTCCATGTAATTTCAGTTTATATTCTGAGAATCCAATACCAAATAAGCTTTGTGTGCATTGTCTTCTTAGAAATTTACTTCTCTGTTTTCATTTTTTAAATAAGTGGAATCCCTCTTCTGATAAGACAGTCTGGAACAAGTGACTTTCTTGATTCTTAATCTTTTGGTTTGTGTTCATTGTAGGCCTAGGTTATCTCTACTACTACTACTAGTGAGCTAAATAATTGCCTATTACCCCCACCAGAGACTGAGCCTATAGGGACCAGAGAAGTGGGACGAGCTCTCAAAAGCCCTATCCTAAGCTCCTTTTTGTCAACAGAAGACTCGTTTCCCAGGCTTTATATTTTTAAAAAAGCAACCTGTTTTTCTTTTTCTTCCATTTTCTGACTGGGCTCAAAAGAGACATGAGGTCCTTTGGTTCTATAGTACTCTTTTGTTAACTAGTACGTGTAATCAATTTATTTTCTATTCTAGAGTGGCATCCACTTAATAACACCTTTTGGAGGGGGAAAGGAAATGCCATCACATGAATTGTATACATAGATTATTAAGTGAAATCTGAACTATCCCAGATAATTTTAAATGTGAGAAAATATGTTAGAATTCATGAAATAGAGGACTGTTTAATAACATTCAGCTACCCGGTAAGGTTGAGTAATCAACACTGTTTTACAAGTCAAGAAACAGAAAGTCTGGCTCGTTAAAGGACGTGCGTGGTGGAGTGATGCACCCGTCACAGCACTGCACCTCCCAGATCGCTACCAGCCTGTGAACTGGGAGCCATCTGATGCCATTTCGTGGATGCCAGAGGTTTTAACCCGCACGAATCTCATTACCTGCTCGTGGAGTGAACATAATAGGTGTTGACAAGTATTTTTTGTTTTTACTTTGCAGTTTATTTCAATATCATTTATTTTGGCATTTTAAATTTGTGTTCTTGTAAATATAAAATCATTTAATATTAACTTTATTAGATTTTGACTTTATCATACACAATAAGGGTAAATATTTTACTTCAAACTATTATTTTTTTTTTGTACTTACACAAATGAATATACTGGATCTCAGTGTAAAATGTTTTTCTTACCTATAACAAATGAAAAAATTGAGACAGCATTGACTGTTATACTCTTGATGCCTAGCAAACTCTTAATAAATGTTTATTTACAAGTATTATTTGCTTTGTTAGGTTATGTCTGGAATTTTTTGTTTATATAGTTAACATCCAAATGAATCTATTTTTCATAATTGTGTGACACTTTTGATGTAATTGATAGCTTTTGTCAGCTGCCTGGTGGCCTCATCTGCTAATGTCATTTTACAGGGTTTGGGATACTTTGTTGCCATTTCTTCACATACCTTGTTGAGTTCACCTCTGGAATTTGTGGTTCTTTCTCGGCTTTACACCTAGGCTCCCTCTGGCTTCGCCCAGTCCCCTGAATAGTGGAGTGAGCTCTGGCCTAGGAGTGTAGAGATCTGAGCTCTCCTCATGAATCTACTATGAACCAGCCCTTTGCCTGTGAGCAGGTTGCGTTACCTTTCTGAGCCTTAGAACCCTCTTTGTAAAATGAGTAAGATGAATTTTTAAAGCCCATTTTAGCCTTAATAATCTGAGTCATCTATAACACTGCTGTCAGCCGAAACCTGTAGCAAAATACAAGATGGTAGTGGAATCAGACTCACAAATAGGTCAGTGGACCATTTTTGTTTACTTCTGTGTTGTACGAACTTTTTTGTTGTGTGATCTATGGCCAAAGACATCATAGTCATGATTTAGTAACAGTGGCAGAGATTGCAGTAGTAATGGTACTTTCGAACTGAAATACTTACAGAGAATGTCACTAAAAAAGAAGGGGGGCATTAAATTCTTAGATAAACTAAAGTAAATTTTTCTAGTTTGGATAAACAAAAAGAATGTGAACTAAAACCATGAATTAATTCACCAGGTTTATGTGAGAACCAAATCATGGTTTTAAAAATGGATTTCCCAGGTGTACTTATGACTGACTGGTCCTTAACAAAGAAGTGGATTTGGGGATCTTTGAAAGTTCACTGATTTTGTGAAATGTTTACTGAAGGAAGATTCTCTACTTCAGCTTTCCTTTTGTATTCTGATCACAGCCACTTAATTTATAGATTTATCAATATACACCTTCTGTGTGGAGGAATTTCTGTTGTTTCTTGTTGTTGATGACATTTTTGAAGTTTTAAAAAAAATACCTAGTATTTCAATATCATAATAAACTGATATTTTACTCAATTACTCACTATTGTAATGATGATTAGTGTTAACAATCTGATATCTTTTCTTACACAGGAAACTCATGGACATGGTCTCACTCTAAAAGACCAAGCAGAAATGTATATATTAGACAGATGTGCATCTCATTTCCTCACATGTTTTCCATAGGCTGTGCGGTGTGGTGAAGCATGTTGTGAACCCCTCAGAGTGTTCCTCCCCTGAACGATGCATCTTAGCCTACCTCTATGATCTCTACGTGTCGTGTAGCCACCTCAGAAGTAAATTTGGAGACCTCTTCAGGTGGGTAGCAGAAAATCAAAAGAAAAGGCGTAGGATTATGCCTCCGTTTGTTAGTGACCGAACCAGTATCGTCATCCTTTTCATTAATGAAAGTTAATCATAATTGTATCTGCCTGAATTCATATTGTTGCCTTTCATTGTAGCTATAACTTCTTATCACAAATGCATGTTTAACTGTGATTGCAATTTTGAGATAAACTTCAGAGAAAATGTTCTGTATCTTGCACATGCTGTTACCTCACTTGGAACATTGTTTCCCCTTTTCTCACTTTGTTTGCTTCCCTGCTTCCTTTACCACCCTGTTTCAAACAGCATCTCTGACTCCCTTTCATTCTCTGCATCTTAGTACTTGCCACCCCCACAGGTAGACAGGTGCTGGAAAATACGTACTTATTTAATGTTATTTTTAGGAAATTTGGATAATCAACTGTAGGAGACAACAACAGCTGACAAACTGATTTTAGGGTCTAGAAGGAAATAGGGAAAGCATGATCGGTCATGCCGGTTTTCTTTGCTCCCTCGTATCCTGCATCCCATTTGTCTGTAAGTCCTGTGACCACCCTTCACGCTCTGTCACTACCACCGTGGGCATTTCTTGGTTAGCCCATCGCACAGTTCTTCTGTTTCCACTGCTTGCCTCTTTCACTCTCCTGAGCAAATCTACTAAACGTATCCACTAAAATCATCCTTTAAAACAAGAATAATAAAGTTTTCTAATGTCTTCTTATGTGCTAGACTAAAAATCCCCAAAGTATTTAAGTAGGCTTTAGGCTCTCCTGAGTCTGATGCTCTCTTCTACCTCTTTTCCTCTGTTCTGTTCTAACTGCATGCACCTCCTTACTGGTCTCCAGACACTCTGAGCACCTGCCCTGGGGCTTTTGCACTTGCTGTTGCCTCTCTTGTTGAGTTCTTCCCTAGTTATCTGCATGCTCCCTTCCACACTTCATTGCCGACCCCCTCCCCCCCAACCCTGCCCCTTACTCTGTCGTTCTTTGAACCTTAGCACTTACTAACCCCAATAAACTGTACACTTGTTTATAGTCCATCCCGTTCCTAGAAGAAAAATGAAAGCAGAAACTTCGATTTTCTTTACTGTTGTATCCCAGGACCTGGGAGAGTGTCTGGCTTATAGTAGACACTCAAAAAAAAAAAAAATCTGTTGGATAAAGGATATATACAAAGATAACATGATACTTTTAATGGTTTCTAAATAGTCCCTTATAGAAAGTTGGGGTGAATCTTAGGAAACATCTCGGCACAGAAATGACGTAATAGTAATAGTACCCTGTGGCTGTTTCTTTGCAGAACTCTTTCGGTTCTGGTTTACAGTTTTTAGAGAGCTTTCTCATACACGACTATGACTTGGTTTATGCAACAGCCCTGTTTTTACTAGCAAACTTCCCAAGAGCCCAGATTGCCTATTTGAGCCCTAAACCTCCTGTGGAGTAGTACAAGTAGGTGAAATGAGTTGATTTAAGCCATTCGCACTGGCTGTGGGGAGATTTAGGAAACCAACAATGAACTGAGGGCTACTCAGAATCAGTACAGGGGTACATTGTTTGACACCATCTAAAGTTTCCTCGGCTAAAGAAGTGGAAGGGATGCCCTGGTCGGGTGGCTCACTTGATTGGAGTGCCGTCCTGTACACCAAAAGTTTGCAGGTTCAGTCCCCAGTCAAGGTGCATATAGGAAGCAACCAGTCTCTTTCTCCCTCTCCCTTGCCTTCCCTCCCTCTCTCTCTCTCCCTCCATCACTCCCTCCCTCTCTTACTTTCTCTCTAAAATCAATAAAAATATCCTTGAAGGAGGATAAAAAAAAATAAAGTGGAAGAGAAATGCAGCTGTCTTAGGAAATGTGGAAGGCAGACATTATTTGCAGTTGGGGATTGAGAAACGTGGTCAAACAAAAGCTAGACATGCAGGGAGATTTCTGTTAGTAAGCTCTTAAACCAGTGTTAATGATCGGATCCGAACACCCTCTGTCTGGGGGGCGAACAGCAAATTCACAGCTTCCTCTGACTGAGCAGCTGCCTGGGCCAAGCATGGCGCTGGGTTATTTCCATTAAGACCTTTACTCCTCCCCACAACCCCAGGAAGCAGAAATGATTTTTCTTATCAACAAATGATTATTCTTTAGCATAAGTTAATAAACGATGAAACTAGATTTAAACATAAGTCACTTTGGCTTGGTGTGTGTTGCTTTCATTACTCCATCAGGTTTTCTGATACATGTAATTTCAGAAGGAAAATACCCGAGTTACTTCCTTAATTCTATATATGCCTGCAACAGAGAGTGGTGAGAATTCAAGAGGGGCCTGGGTAGCAGCTAACTCTTTATTAAAACATAGAAAGAAGCTCACCTGGAAAAAAATCTAGTAAATGAAATAGGCAGCATAGAAAGGAAGGGTGAGGAGACTTCACCATGAGCCATAGAGTTCAGAAAAGTTAAGCAACCCAGGCTGGAGGTCGGAGAGAATCAACTCAGGAGAAGTCTCTAATGATGGAAAATTAGAGGCTGAGTCTTATGAAAACTAAGAAGGAAAAGCAGGATTCTTTTGGTTTCTAAAGACAGGAACAAATAGCTTGTTAAAATAAAGGGGAAGTTGACTAAAATAGACACAATGCTTTACTATTTGCCCCGAGTCCCGTTGGCAAACAGTCAGAGGTGGAGGGGACCAGCAAAGAGCAGAGTTGGTTTTTGTTTCACTTTTAGTGGGAACATGAAGCAAATTAGGAATTACTGCTAAATAAGAATGACAGAAAAGTTGACTAGAAAATTGGCAATAGTAGTTAAGACAGAAAAATGGAGATTTTAAAAGCACTGAGGACTCCTGTAATGTCTAACATTTTGAATAGGTCCTGACTCCAGATGGCAAATTTGTATCCTTCAGTGAAAAGATTTAGACAATAGTTATGATTAGTAACCAAATGTCTTATTCTTGTTTTGTTCTTCGACTCATTCAGCAACTTTTTATTGAGCCATTGTTACATTCTAGGCACTGTGCTCAGTGCTGATTATCAAGAAATGGGTATCAAGAACTCACAACGTGAATCTTTTCTAGAAATACATTATAGGTGTTGCCATTTGATCTGTCCTTAAACGAACTAACTTTCTAGTTATTCTAGGTTGTTTTTATTTTTAACTCTTCTTCTTGTAACCTCAGTAGTGCCTGTTCAAAAGTTAAGCAAACCATATATAATAATGTGATGCCTGCCAATTCTAACTTGCGATGGGATCCGGACTTCATGATGGATTTTATTGAGAATCCTTCAGCCCGTAGCATCAACTACTCGATGCTGGGCAAGATCCTCAGCGACAACGCGGCCAATCGCTACAGCTTCGTCTGCAATACACTCATGAATGTATGTATGGGCCATCAGGATGCTGGAAGGTAAGTGGAGTTGCCCTGGAATTTAGCACTGACCACACAGTTGTTGCTTTGGTGCTGCGTTGAAATTAACTTCTTTAGTAATTACTTACGCTGACATTTGGACATTGTTTGCTTTTATTATTTTTTTATCCTCAGCCAAGGACATACCTATTAATTTTAGAGAGTGGGGAGGGAGGGAGAAAGAAAGGGAGAGAAACACTCATGTGAGAGAGAAACATCGATTGGCTGCCTCTCACTCATGCCCCAACCAGGGACCAAACCCACAACCTAGGCACAGGCCCTGACTGGGAATCCAACGTAGGACCTTTTCTTGGTCCATGCATTGACACTCTAACCAACTGAGCCACGCCAGCCATGGCTGCTTTTTCTTTCCCTCCATATTCTTTCATTCCTGAATTCACTCTGCTCTATATTATGATTTCCCTAACTCGAGAGACAAAAACATAAACAATAAAAATAAAAATTACCTGTATTTTGAAAACACTGTATTTAGGTCTACCTAAATTAAATTTCTTTAATTTTTTAATGCTCTTTTTTTTTTTTAACCAATTCATGTTTTATTTATTTCATCCTCACCTAAGGATATGTTTTTATTGATTTTAGAGAGAGAGAGGAAGGTCGGGGGGAGAGAGAGAAACATCAATTAGTTACCTCCCATACATGTTCCAACCAGGTACCTCCTATAAAAACCTATAACCTAGGTACCTCCCGAATGGGAATCAAACCCTGGACCTTTTGGTGCATGGGATAATGTCCCAACCAACTAAGCAACCTGGCCAGGGCTAATTTTTTTCTTTTTTTGATGTGCTTAAAAGTTAATTGTATAGGTCAGATTTGTTCATAGAACTAAAAATATGCTTATTGACAACTGTACTGATTGCTGTTCGTTGCTCACCGTCATTAAACACCAGAAAGCATTTGAAGCCATTTACTTTTATCTTGGGCCTCAGATTCTACTAGGTGATTTGCCAAGTGAGCATTAATTATGTAGTCTTGAACATAAGAAGTGAATGGCTCACTTGATGATAGTAAAATACATGTTCATTAAGTATGTCACACGAGTAGTTCTTTGTATTGCTTCCTACTACGTATATTCTTTTTCTCTTTTTAGGATTAATGACATAGCCAATTTCTCCTCCGAGCTGACGGCTTGCTGCACTGTTCTTAGTTCAGAGTGGCTGGGAGTTTTGAAGGCTCTGTGTTGTTCTTCAAATCACGTGTGGGGGTTTAATGATGTACTTTGCACCGTAGATGTAAGTGTTCTTTTCATTTAAAAACTCAACTGCAATTAAATATTTGATTTGTGAATAATTTTTTTAATTGGCTCAACCTTTAGCTGAAATAAGTGTAAAATATTTTTTCCTTCACACTCTAAAAGCAGTCACCAGAGTGTGGTTGGTTTTGCTGTGCTGCATAAGAATGTCCGGGCTCCATTCATTGGTCGATCTTAGTGACTGTGTCTGGAAGTGATGAAGAGATACCTGTTATATATCATGCATTTCCACAAATATCATAGTGCATGCATGATATGGGAATTTCCTAAAAATCTATTTCAATTCTTTATTTTTGCCTATCATTTCTTGGTGTAATATATGTTAACATATCATACATGTAACACCATTTTATACATTTAAAAAACTATCTTCCAGTTGAACTTTTCATTTCTGATATCTCAAGACAGGTTGGACCAGCCTATTCCATTCATTCTGTGACTACCTAAGATTTTATACTTTAAAACTCCTATCTGTGGCCTGCTTTTCTAGACAAAAAAAATAAATAAATAAAATACACTATTGTCTTTAACCTCTTAGTTGTTTTTATTACACTTTACCTCTGAGCTGTTAAATGAGGTGATCTTTGTAAGTTTTAACCATAGTCCCTGGCATATACTACAACTCAATATAAAGGATGCTATTATAGACTTTTAAAATTATTATTATTTTCTGCCAAAGTCTTGCGAGTTTTGTAAAGGTAGAGGTTTTACCCTGAATGAATTTTCTTCCTCTTTTCTTTTTAAAATTTAGGAGTCAATTGTAAATTTTCAGAGTTGTCTTTAAATCTAACTGTATATTAAAAACACAGTGTTTGTTATTCCTAAGAAGAACTTCGAAACATTACTGAGGCTTGTTTTCCACTTAGGTTGCCCTTAAATGACAGAGCATACTGAGTTCTGCAGACAAGTTTTATTTCTGCTACATTTGTTAGGGATTTCTTTATTTTTCTTTTTTATTGTTTTCTTTTTCAATTATATGTACTCAAGATAAAGCTCAGTGTCTTCTTATACCATTGGGATGTGGGGGAACCACATTCTTTGTCTTATGAAGTAGAAATAGGCTTAGAGGATAATAATCTTGACAAGTTATTTCATTCATTTGGGGATCTGAGACCTTATTGGGGTTGCCTACATTCTCTTAGATATTAATCTTAGATATTACTTTAGAGGGTGTTAGGTATTAAAACATGTCAATGTTTTTCTTGAAGGTGAGTGACCTTTCATTCCATGATTCATTAGCTACTTTCATTGCTATTCTGATAGCACGACAGTGTTTCTCCCTGGAGGACGTCGTGCAGCACGTCGCGCTCCCCTCGCTCCTCGCAGCAGGTGACGGGCTCTGTTGTTTGGTTGTGGTCTTGGTGGGGTGGTTTCTAAGAAAACCCTGTGAGTAGCGGCATTTAAGGGTAGGTGCATTGGGCAGTGGTGTGGCATCATGGGAAAGATGACAAGATTGTGAATTTTGTTCTACACAAAGCGCTTTGAATCCCCATGGATATTAGTGCCCGTTTTGAGGAAGCATGGACATCCGGGTTTCTCAGAAAAGCATGGCCAATGCCTTACTTTTTACCATAAGGAACATTTACTTATTTATTCTAGAAAGTGTCACTTAATAGAAAACCTGGAGATATGTTCTTGAGTATGTTAGAAAACTTGCTTTCAACATCCTTCTTCCCCAGCTTGTGGAGACGCAGACGCTGAGCCTGGGGCGAGAATGACATGCCGGCTCCTGCTTCATCTCTTCCGAGCTCCCCCCGCCTGCTTATTACCCCAGGCAACCGGTGAGCTGAGCGCCGAGCAGTCTGTGATGGCATTTTCATCGGGAGCTGCAGGTTCTAAAATGACCACGTGGGCTCTCCATTCTGTAATTTCCTCCCTGACTCTGGTGGGCCTGCTTCCGGTCCAGGAAGGGGTGCAGGGACGCCACCGGGAGGGCTGTCGGCACCTCTCCCATGACGTCATACCCGGATGTATTGAGAAACTCAAATCCAGAGTTAACAAACAATAAAAATACTTTTGCTCTTAGGCCAAGCCATGCTGCAGGGCAGCGTGATCCTCTAACACACCGTGCATGTTGGTTATGAACCACATCAGAGCAGCTTAGGGCAGTGGTGATTCATTTACTCTTTTACTCAGGTAAAGGGAGTAAGGTGAGCTGAGCATGTGAGTGAAGTCTGTTCCTAGAGATCATTTCCATGTTGGGGTGTGTGTGCGTGCATAAGTGTATGAAAATCCTACTAATGTTTTTGACACCTCTCTCAGGAGTGAAGACAGTATTTTTTGTACCATAAAATGCACCTAGGTTTTAGAAGAAGAAAATAGGGAAAAAATTTTGAAGCAAAAAATGTGGTAAAATGTTTAATAACATAAATAACATAATATGTCACCAATGTAAATGTAAACAGAACTCAGCAGCAGTATTAATAACCATTATTTCTCCCAAATCGGTGGCGGGGGTGCATCTTATAGTCCAAAGAATACGCTGATTGAAAGGAAAGGTTAAGTAAGGAGTACTGGCAATGTGTCTTAGTAAATCCATGAGGCATCATCAGTTAAAGCTAGCTAATGGCAAGTAAGCACCCACAGTCTGACAGTGAAAAGCCCTGCTGACTGTAAATGGTTAAAAAAGACTGTTCATGATGATCATGAGACATTAAGGGTTTGTTGTTATTTTCATAGGCAAACCTTTCCCTGGAATACGATCATCTTGTGATAGACACCTCTTAGCTGCTGCTCACAACAGCATCGAAGTGGGAGCAGTGTTTGCTGTTTTAAAAGCGATTATGATGCTTGGTAAGACTATCCTGGCACTAAGTTTGGTTAATCACCAGAAGTTTAACTCGATTTTATAGTATTAGAGATGTTTTTGTTGCTGCTGTTGTTCTCCTGGAAAAAAATGAGTTGGCTTTTTCCAAGTCCAAGTTTAATTGGAGTCTGAGAAGTCTGGCCCTTCCTACAACATAGGTGGAATTTAAATATAGCACCTTTTTTTGGTGGTGTTTTAACTGCATGCTCTCTCATTCTGATGTAATACCGATCCTCTCACATCCTGGGTTGTTTGGCCTTCATTTGTTGGCATAAGTCACACTTACTGATGGACACAGAAGACTCAGTGACCTAACCAAAGTTTTAAATTTCATGTTAGATTCCAGAAGTAAAACACCAGAAAACCTGGGTTTATAATCTCAGTGTCCTGTTTCCATTGTGACCCTGAACAAGTTTATATCTTTGTACTTTAGTTTTTCTTATCAATCAGGTGAAAATTACATTGAGATTGATATTACAGTTACATCAATATTCGATATCACAACATTTTATATATTTCATGATGTCCAAGATGTATTTTATGTTCTTACTGGTTTACATCCTCCTGGAGTGGTAGTACTGCCTTTTCTATTCATCCACAGTACAGTAACTTAGGACTTGTTTATCCTATGAGTCAGTCAGGAGAATGATTGCAAAGTCTTAATTTCACTCTGCCCAGTTCCAACTTTGAGTTCCCTCTTTTGGTCTTCATTACACAAAAGTTATCTCTTATGTTCTGAAGGAGTCCCCTTTTGATGAGAGTAGAGATTACTGCATGGATAGGAATAGTCTGATAAGTCTTAAAGGACACGTTTGAGGATATGCCCTTTCTGTTTATACTCCTACTTGGGAAGTGTTATTTGGTGGTAACAAGGGAGGAAAAGCAGGGTTCTCATAAGACAAATAATTGAGCTCATTTAAAAATATCTACATATACACATGTGTATATATATTGTATACATCTACAAGTATATAATATTCCTGTTAAACACCCGTGAATTATGTAGCAGAAAGAGAAAGGTAGAGTCATGGAGGGGTACGGCCCCCTCTGAGCTCAGGATCTATAGTGTTAACAGCCAGCATGAAGTGGTCATCTCAATAAGTAAAGTTTCTGCACTCGGATGATGTTTGGAAGGAAAGATGGCTAGTCAGTTCTGTTTAATAAGAATAGAGACCTTGAAGTCAGAACTCCCCTTTTAACTGTAGTATCTAATGTTCATCAGAGAAACTAAATAGATTTTCCATAAACTAATGTTGGAAGGGTGCCTGCATAAGTCATAGATATTTTAATGGCAGAAACCAAAATGAGTGCAATGTAGATATTGTCCCTTTGGTTTGAATGACTGGTTTGATTCCAGATAAAATTGGCCAACCTGTTTAAATATCCAAAGAGCCATAGTTTACTGCCTATGCATAATCACCAATTCATTTTTCTTTGATTGCCTCTCCTTAACCTTTTTAAATTGGCCTCAGTTCTTGGTAGATCGTACAGCCTTGTAAGCACTGGGAGGTTCTCCAGGTCAGAGAGGTCAGGATCAGGCAGGTTGAGTCAGCAGAGCCCTGGGCCAGGCCGTCACTGAACACTCTTGTTTGTTCTGGTGTCTATATGACTGCAGACGGTTCTGGCGCAGCCTCCGTGGCACCCAGATGTCTAACCTGATGTGAGGGTCTCCTAGTCGGGGACTAGCAGAGATGCTTGTTGTATTTCTTTGTTTTCATTTTTGTAGAAGTTTTAATTTATCTGTCTCACGTGTCCTAACCACTGTTTTCTCAAGCCCTGTCCATCAGGACCTATTTTGAGTTTGGGAGATAGGATCGTTTTATAGAATTTGGTTTTTAATGTCTATAGTAGTTTTACTTTAAGGTGTAAAAATAATTATTTGTATTACCGAAGTTGGGAGAAAGCGTGCTAAATTTTGTACATGTAGAATATGGCCTTTCTTTCAGGTCCTAAAGAGCTCTGTTAAATTAAATAAACTTCTATGAGTGAAATGAAATTGGTAGTTTTTGTATGTTTTAATGAGGAGTATATGATAATAGATAGTAGGATATCGGTGAGTTGAAGTGTATTTTTATTCCTCTCACCCTTTTAATGATTCCATAAGAAAATATTCAGGAAGCAGTTCTGATTTTTCAGATTTTTTCAGCAGAGTGAGAACTTTTTCTTGTTTGACCTGCAGGTTTTAAAAGACTTTTGGCATTGACCTGGGCTTGGTTTCACCCAGGGTAAGGCAGCGAGGGCCTCCTGTAAACTCATTTGGTGTTGGCTCCAGGACATGTTCTCTCTTAAGGCTTAGGGTCCTGCAAGTAAACAGGCAAAAGTTTTGGAGACTCTGGGTCAGTTGGCAGTCTCTATTACCAAAGTATTTTATTCTTTCACCTTCAAAATAGGAAGGATAGTTATTCCTCTTTCACAATGAGAGATTTCTTATTTCTAGATATTCAGCCACTCTGCTCAGTTTTTACCCCAGAACTTTTTTTTAAATAAGGAAAGCTTATTTAAAAAAGCTTCCTAAGCTTCATTTTGTTGAGGGTAGTAGAGACTGGTGAGATGAAGTTTTCTGATTTGGTCTTTACGGAGAGGACAGTGAAAGGCATGGGTTATTCAATGAATGCCCTATTTTCTGGGGCTTCCTTAGTATGCATTGCCCTTTTCCATTCCCAGGGAAATAAATCTCTCTTGTCAAGAAGTTGATAGTAAGGTGGGCTAAGGCAAAACTTTTCTCTTGACCTATGGATAGAAAATAAGTCATTATAAGAGAAGAAGTGGAAAAGGGACATCTTGAAGGGTGAGTAACCCATTTTTTTCTTGTCTACAAGTCAAATGAATCTGAATACATTCATGCTTGAAGTATTGATGAAATCAATGTTCTGTGATTATTAAGTGTGATTTATAATGGCCTTTCCAAGTTTGGGGAAAGCATCCTTAATTCTATAAACAAAATAAAGATTGAGTCTTGAGCTTGCTTTTTTCCTCATGTCTGATGAAACTTCTCTAGGTTCTCGCATTTATCCTCTCTGATCCATTCTCTTCATTGCTGAACTACTATGTGATAATGATACCATTCACGTACTTGAAGTCCCTGAAAGCTTGCCTCACTTACTTTTCAAATGCTTGGCAATATTTTGAACTTGTGTGATTTTGCTTTTGTGATTCTGTTATTTAGGAGATGCCAAAATTGGCAATAACAATGTCAGCTCTTTAAAGAATGATGACTTCGGCATGAGGGGTTTACGACGTGATGGGAATGCTGATGATATTTGGACTGCCTCACAAAATTCAAAGCCCTGTGGGAAAATCATTTCCATAGAAACTGCCAATTTAAGAGAATATGCTAGATATGTACTGAGGACTATCTGTCAACAGGTATTGACCTTTGAATATGTTTGAATATGTAACTGTCCTTTTGGAAAGAGATTCTCACTATTGTACAACACTTGTACATAGGTGGACCTTTTTTTTTCCTTCTAACTTTGTTTTGAAATAATTTCAGATTTGCTGAAAAGTTGTAATAGTAATAAAGAATTCTAGTATATCATTTATACAGACTCATTAACGTTTTACATTTTACCACATTTGCTTTATAATTATATATGTGTGTGTAAATGTGGTATATATGCTTAAAAATTTTTTTCTGACCATTTGAGAGTAGTTGGCATACATTATTCTTTTTTACTTTTTAATACTTCAGTGTTTATTAACATAAGCAAAATATAGTTTAAAACCTCAGGAAATTTAGCATTGGTACAGTAATTTTTTCTCACCTATAGGCCACATTCCAATTTTGTCAATTGTCCCAATTATGTTGGATTTGTCTGAAGTTTCCTGTAGATTAGCTTCAGATTATGCATTCCTGGCCAAGATACTGCAGAAGTAATGTTGTGTTCTTCTCAGGTAATCACATCTGAAGGCACATGATGTCCATTTGCACCTCATTGGTGATGTTAATTTTGATCAAGATGTCTCCATTGTATGATTTCTCTACTGTATAATTATTTTTCCCCTTGCAGTTAATAATCAGTCTTTGGGGAGACACTTTAAGACAAAGCAAATATTCTCATCAAACTCCCTCATTCTTCCCCAAGGAAGAGCCTACCCTTATTTTTCCCCCTTATTTATATTTATTTATTTTCCACATGGATTATAATTTACTGTCCTTAGTTATTTTCATGTTCAAATTGTCCCAGATTTTTCCAGTGCAAATCTTTTCATATTGGTTGTCATGTTATTTGGACATGCCTTTATCTTGTTTTTATTTTTGTTGTTGTTGTTGTTTTCATTTTTATAATGTTATGTCTCCTTTTGTACTTTTTCTGCCCCAGACCTGTAATTACTCATTCCTCAAAAGAACCTTGGTCTTAGTTAGTCAAGGATGGTATTTAAAAACCAAGGTCACCACCATGTATGCTCATTGCCATGGGCCATGTGTGTTCATTGCTTCTAGGCCCTTTCAGAGGACAGACAGAGCCAAGGAAAAACATCTACATACATAAATGTGTGGGTAAACCATGAGTTCATACTGATATATTTAATACCATTTCAACCCTACAAAGTTCATTATGTCCCCCCTCTTCCACAGTAAGAACCCCTACTCCCAATGACATTAACCCATTTACTGTTTGCTTAATTCTACAGTATACCTGTAATAGTTTCAGAATTGCTACACTCATACCACAAGGAAAAACAAGCCTACTAAAAGGATTTGAAGATTTGTTTGTCATTCTTCCTTAAGGGTTTACAGTATTGTATTAAAAAGTCATTTGGATTTTTCCTTCAGTGTGTATTATGTTAGTCACTTGATGCAGAATTCATTTTATTTGTTTTTGTTTACATTCAGTTTAGATTTCTTTCTCCCCCCAGCTCTGTCTTAAGAATAGCATGCTTCCACATGCCAACTATGCAAAAAGCTGTACTCAGTGATGAGTCCTCTCTCCCTATCCCTTCTGCCCTGTCGCTCCCTGCCTTAGGTGATCATTTTTATGATTTTCTGGTTTAACTTTTCATGTCTCTTTTTAAAATTTCTTTTTTCTTATCAAAAGAATCATGGCATATCATATATACTCTTTTTTACTTTCCTAATGTTTACAGGGTTGTGTTTTTATTAAGGTGTATTTTATAATTATGATAAAAGTTAGCTAAACAGTTGTATAGGTATTAAGAGGGTATTGAGTTGTTCATTGGTTCTCAACTGTGAGAGTATATTAGAATTACCTGAGGAGTTAAAGAAATTTTTTTGATGCCTTCAAATATGACTGACACCTGGTCTCGCTCTCTGAGATGGACTGAGTCGACCTGTCGTAGAGCCGGGGTTCTGGAGTTTTAGCAGGCTCCTCGGGTGACTGTGCCAGAGAGCAGCCTCAAGCCCCTGGTGCAGTTACGAAACAGGTTTCCTCTGAAATGGACCTGAGTTCAGTAGGGCTCGGAGACAGTTGGTGATCTCTTAGCTCATTTAGTATGAGTTTTCCTTTGAAAAAATGATGAAGAAAAGGTGATAGGAGTTTAAATTGGTAGAAACTTTCTGGAGGCCAATTAGCCATATACATTAATAGCCTTAAATTTTTGCTATACTTGACCCTACAGTTGCACTTCTGTGACACTATCCTAAGAAAATAGTTACAGAGAGAGTATATGTGCACAAATAATTACTTATAATAATATCAAAAAGGGAGACACTTTTTACAGTGTTATGTTACGTTCTATTCAGTAAAATGTACTAGAATGCATTCCATAAAAATGGCATATTGGGGTGTAGACTCATGGTCCTTAGAGCAAATTAAAAATACTGATGACAAAACGGTTCCTAGAGCAGGAACCCATTTTCCAATTGAAATATGCCAATATTTTCCTTACTTTCCTTAGCTTTCTCTTCTTTACTTTTTTTTTTACATATCTGTATTTTTAAAACTCTTTAGCCAAGGTTTTACTTTGTGTTTTAAAGAAGTTAAAATATTAGAAATTTTGTTTTCAAAACTTCTGCCACCATTTTTGTGTGTAATATTTTATTAATGGGAAGATTCCTGTCTACTTTATAGTCCATCGTGTGCCATGAACTTAGTACATGTTAACATATGCTTGTAGAAATCTGTGCCTACCAGTCTAACTGCTGTATTATTTTTAGGAATGGGTAGGAGAACATTGTTTAAAAGAACCTGAGAGATTATGCACAGACAAAGAACTCATACTGGACCCTGTGCTCTCAAACATGCAAGCACAGAAACTATTGCAGCTTATTTGTTATCCTCACGGCATTAAGGAGTGTCCTGAGGGGGACAACCTGCAAAGGCAGCACATTAAGCGCATTCTGCAAGTGAGTGATGATCGTTTAAAGGTCATGTTTCTGTCACTTGACACATTCTTTGTAGTTATAACCAAAATGATGGTCTCATTTTATCATTGCTAACTAATTCTTCTCAACTAATTCAATTAATTCACATTTTTATTCTCCCCATTTTATGTTCTGTGTTATTGCCACACTTTATAGCTGGCTAGCTATAGGTAGATACTGCCAATTACGTGCAGTCATCCTGTAAATATTGATATTTTTAAGTCAGTACCATAATTGCATGAAAATAAGCTTTGTGGGGGGACTGTGTTAAATGTTTTATTCAAAAAATATTGAAATCACTTTGGAATAGGGTCGCTTAGATTTTGACAGAAGACATGTTTATCTTAGTTATTTCTAGTGCTCAGCTGAATGAGGCACATTATTTTAATGTTGCTATGGATTTCTTTGTGTTTACAATGAATGTGTATAATAGACTTGGCAGCCTTTTGATCCGTATATATACCCATTATTGGAAAGTAGAGTGTTCCTGGGAAATGTTTTGTAAGCAAAAATGGTAAAAAGTGAAGAATCAATTACCATTAATTTATGTGGAAATTTTTTTGAGCATTCCCATACCCCAAATTTAATGCACTTATGTCATTCACTGTGACCAAAATGCTTAATTATGTCAGTTTTATGTTAAGTGTAGCACTCTTACAAGCTCTCTTAGGGCTTTTCTGATCTTTAAGAGACACCTTGCTACTGAATGTACAAAAGATCAAGGAAAAGCACAGGTGGCCACAGGCACGGTTCAGAGTCTTGATCGCTTGATGCTGAGTGTGGTTCCCTGGGAAAGAGGTTCGCAGGGCCGCTCTTGCTGCTCAGGGTGTTGGTCTCTGTGGCAGCTCACTGCACAGCAGACCCTGAATGCCATGTTGCTATTTTCACTCTCTGGATTTCCTTCTGTTAGCCAAAGCTGGTGTAATGTAGGTCTTTTGTGAAAGTGAAGTGGCTTAGCGCAATCTGTTGAAAAGCAGAGGATCCCTGTAGACCCCTTTATTGTATATTGTTCTTCTACTCTTCTTCGAGGCAGGGACTTACAGTATTTTAAGATGTGCTTATTATTCCTAATGCATTTTTATTTCCATTTACCCCAGAATCTGGAACAGTGGACACTGAGGCAGTCCTGGCTAGAACTTCAGTTAATGATTAAGCAGTGCTTGAAGGACCCTGTGAGTATATCTGAAAGTCACGTATATGCGTAATATTTTACAAAAAGCAAAGACATGTTGATGTTTGAGAATAAAGGAAAACGTCTGTGTGCTAGTATTTTTCATGTCTGATGCTAGGGCTCTGGTTCAGTGGCTGAAATGAACAACTTACTGGACAATATTGCCAAGGCAACCATAGAGGTATTCCAGCAGTCTGCCGACCTGAACAATAACTCTTCTAATCCCGGTATGAGCCTCTTCAACCCGAACGGGATCGGAAGCACTGACACAAGTAGCCCGAGGCAGAATGGAATAAAGACATTTCTAAGGTACTTTTCCTGTACTTTTATTAGTCTCTTGTTAATTTTCCACATGTAACAGGGTGTTTTATTTGCATAATGTAGTTTTTTTTGTTTTCATGAAGCTACAGGAATGAGAGGAAAACACTTGTGTCAGTTATCACTATTTAATAACATGATAAGGGGTAACCCTATGGGGTGGATGATGTCTTAGTGTTCTAAATAGTAAGTTCATTAGGCCAGCCCCTTGGAACCACAGATGACATATTCAGGATGGATCACTTTCCACAGTGTCCCCTGAGGCTACTCTGTCCAGTGTATATCCTTTATATAGGAAACAGTGTTTTCTGCCTTCTTTACAATTGGCAGTTTTGTACAAATAATAATCATGAAAGGCAGATCTCCTTGTATTTCATCATTTTGCCAAGAGGAGATCAAGGTTGTCCAACCTTTTGATGTCTCTGCACCACACACTGGAAGAAGAAGAATTTCTTGTGCCACACATTAAATGCATTGCAACACATAATCACAAAAAATCTCATGTTTTAAGTAAATTTACAGTATTGTGTTGGGCCTCATTCACAGCCATCCTGGGTTGCATGCAGCCCTTGGGCCGCAGGTTGGACACTGCTGGACTATAAAGTATAACTAGTAAATTCTAAAATTTTAAAAACTGGTTACCAGTATGCTTAAACATAATCAGAACATTTCATATCTTAATCATGACAGAAAAGTGTATTGCTTGTTGGACCAAAGGACTGTTGCTAATCAAAGAGCCAGAATCATGGAAAAAGACTTTTATAGATTTTTAAAAAAGAAGTTTAGTTACCGTCACCTCCCAGAACCCCACCTTTTATTAACTTACATAAGCATGGGTGGAAGTGTATGCAAATATCTGGTATTTGGCAAGAGGAACAATAGTATAGAAATGAAAGGGAAATTGTAGAGTAATCAGTATGTCTTGTGCATAAGAGTGTTACATCGGAATTCCTGTTATAACCCTGAGAGCAGAGAAAAGGGTGCCTCACTGGGTGTAACGCGTGTTTCTGACTCCAGTTCCTCTGAGCGCAGGGGCGTGTGGCTGGTGGCCCCCCTGATTGCCAGGCTGCCGACCTCTGTGCAAGGAAGAGTGTTGAAAGCTGCTGGGGAAGAGCTGGAGAAGGGACAGCACTTGGGCTCTTCCTCCAAAAAAGAAAGAGACAGACAAAAACAGAAAAGGTATGGCTGGCAGGTGCGCCTCTTTTGTAAGATTCTGAAGAAGAACATCTCGCACTTGGCAAGTGTGCATGATTGCTGCCCCTCGAGTTCCTGAAATTTTGTTCTTAAATGATACAGAAAGTGTTTTGTTAGGTAAGGCACTGTTCCTACCAAGATTCAGGTTATGACATTTACCACATAAGTTCTCAATTCTGTGTATCCAAATCGCTGCTGAAATATTAAAACTATGGACTCCTTAGCCCTACTGCATACATGCTGAATCAGATCTGGCCATCCACTTGGTCCCTATGTTCTTTTAATTACTATTCATTTTTTTATTACTTAGATTTTTTGTTTGTTTGTTTAAAATGCAAAGGATTACTTCTAGTTCTGTCTTATTGGACCTTGAAATAGTTACTAATATTTTTAGCATTTAAGACTCTTGTTCTAGGTTAGACATTAAAACTCATAAACCACAAAATTTGATGTTTTCTTAGTTTATTTTATGCCCTAGAAAAGATATGAAATAATTGTCTTTGAAAACTGACTGTGATGAGGAAGTCTAAGACCACACGCAAATATGAAAACACAATGAATTTAGTACCATGGCATAAAGGGAAATAATGGAAATTTCTTCTACTTAAAAAAAAAATTGAACATACAGGTTTCTTTTCTTCTATTGATAACATTTTGGTAGCTGCCATTTATTGAACTCTTATAAAATGCCAGCTCCTATATAAAATATATTTCGTACATTCTTGAACTTTTAAAATCTCACAGCAATCATGCAGTAGGTGCTCTTATTATACACTTTTTACAGATGAAGAAATTGATGCGCTGAAAAGTTCAGTTAATCTCTTAAGGACACACCACTAAAGAAATTAAAAGCTGGGCTTCAGCCCAGGTGGTCTGGCTTCTAAGCCTGTCCTCTAAACTCCAGTCCATTCGGTAGAGACCTCCCTTTGAATGTATTTTGTTGCCTGATTGTTCCCTCATGCTTGGCAGCATTCAGTAACTAGCCAGATGACTCAACTCACTTCTCAAAGTGTCTTAGTTAATGGGAGATTGTGTGCCCTTCGCCTCACTTGCCACAGAGAGGACAAATGGTATTAAAATGTTTCAAAACGGCCCTTCCGAACTCAATCTCTCTCAGCTCTGCTGATATAACATGAAGTATTTTGGCCTCAGTCTCATTTTAAGCTTATCTTTCCAGTGTAGCAATTAGTTTATCAGTATGATTCATTAGTTGTTCTCCAATAATTGAAGAATTCTTAATAGAATTTTCACCAAATGTCTTACACGCCTTTTCAAGTTGAGCCTTTGAGGCTGGTGGGACTGCACACTGCAAGTCACACCAAACCCTCTCTGTCTGGGCTCCTCAGGCCCAGGTGCTGACTTCAGCCTTATCAATAAATGCTGCACTCTTTGGTCTTAAGAAATGTGCTGAAAAATAAAATAAGCACAACAATTGGATTGGCTTGGACCTTACGAGTTTTGTGTGAGAGGAATTTTTAAATTTTTTAATTTTACTTTGTGTATAAATTGGTATTGCTTCTTATGTGTATTTTTAAATGCAGCTAACTGATATAAAATAAAATCCTCTTCTCCATGCACCCCCCCCATGCACTCATTTGCAGTATGAATTTATGCTAGTTTTGGGAATGCCTTCAATATTAAATTATTTAGAAGCATTACAGTAGCTTTTAATATAATTAGTAGAGATATAATTTAACTCTCCATTTTCTAATAGTAAAATAAGTATGAATTAGTAACTCAAGGGCGAGGAATTGGTGTTGCGCAGGAAGTAATCCATTCTTTCTAACTGGATCTGCTATCATTACTTCCTTTGTAGTATGTCTCTTTTGAGTCAACAACCGTTCCTCTCGCTGGTTCTTACCTGCCTTAAGGGACAAGATGAACAACGAGAAGGCCTCCTAACGTCCCTCCAGAATCAAGTTAATCAGGTAAAGCAGCAGCCCCCAACCTTTTTGGCACCAGGGGCTGGTTTTGTGGAAGACACTTCTTCCACGCACCAGGGCGAGGGGGGTGGTTTGGGATGGTTCAAGCGCATCACACTTAAGCCCCACTCCTGCTGTGCAGCTCAGTTCCTAACACCCGCAGACCCATCCCAGTCTGATGCCCGAAGGTTGAGAACCCCAAAGATAAAGTATGGTAGAGAATTAAGCCCAGCAGATATCTTTCCAGTGGCATTTGTTTTCTTTTCAAATAATAAGATTAAAGTAATAAGGACACACCACAGTTTGACTGGATGCGGGGAGGCATATTCCATGCCCTGTTCTCCTACCAAGCATTGTAGTCACTATAAGATTAACAGTTTTATATTAACTATGCATTGGATAAAATCTACAGTCTATAAAAGAAACATTTTTCAACAGTGCATCTAACTTTGGCATATCTGCTCCTCTTCCGACCTTGCCTCAAGGGAGGGGCTCTGGAGCAGCCCTGTCCCTGTCGGCATGGCAGTAAGACCGGAATAGAGCTCCAGGTCCTAACTGGCTTCCGCATATCAGGCAGGGTCTCAGCTTGGGCCCTATAGATTCAGAAACTCGATTTTATTTTACTGCTAGAGCCAGACTGATGCCAGTCAAGTGCACAAGATACTCATTTAGAAATCAGAAGGCATTTTAGTTCTTTTATAAAGAATATGGACTTTGTCTTTCCACCAGCTACAATTCTTCTGGCACTCGCATTCTCTGTACCACAGGAAACTAGTGAGCAGATTAGCAACTGGAGATCATGGAATAGAGCAGTGTTTCAATCTTGTGGGGTGTTTTATCCTGCTGCAGAGCCCAGTGGAGCCCTCCTGTGGTGCTGGGGTTCTATGACACCACGTTTTTCCTTTGGGTGGTGTAGATAAACATGAACAGGGATGTTTACTTGGTTCTCCTATTGTCTCCTACCTTTGGATATGGCAAATCTATTCTCTGCCAGCAGCCAGAGTGATCCTTTTTAAATCACCGTGAACATTAAAAAGGCAACAAATTCACAGCCATCAACAACTGAATCCAAAAACAAAACAAAAACAACCCAAACAAACTAAGCAAACAACCAGAACAGGAACAGAAGCTTAGATATGGAGATCATTTGGAGGGTTATCAGCTGGGAAGGGGGGAGAATGGAGAAATGCTACAGTGAATAAGAACCATAATTGGTAGGAACAAAATAGACAGGGGGAAGTGAAGAACAGCATAGGAAATGGAGAAGCCAAAGAACTTACACGCATGACCCAGGGGCATGAACTGAGGGGGCAGTACTGCTGGAAGGAAGAGGGGTACCAGTTGAGGGGCCAAAGCAGTAAAAATTAGGACAACCGTAATACTATAATCAGTAAAATATAATATAAAATAAAACAATGTGGATCACATTTTTTTTTTTTTGGTAACCGAAATGCTGAAATGATTCTTACTATACCTAGAATAAAAATCAAAGTCTGAGCCTATAGGGCCTCCCATGAGATGGCATTGGCTCTCACTGCTCCCTTGATTCCTATTAGTCATGGCCTTGTGCGCTCCATTCTTTTCATAGTGGCCACATGGCTGTTCCTTGAACTTGCCAAGCAAATTCTCATTGTGGCACCTTTGCATCTTCTCTTCTCTTCACCCGGAAGGCTTTCCTCTCACATATGAGCATGGTCATCTCCCTCACTTCATCAGGCCTCTGCTCAGATACCACCTCCTTCGGGAGGCCCTCCATGATCACTCTAAAAATAGGACTGTGGTCATTCTCTGTCCCTTGTCCTGGTTCACACCATTTGTTACACCTGATTTATTGTTATTTGTCCTGCTCCTTGAATGTAAGCTTCATGACAACTTGTGTGCTTTATTAGCTATCATGCACCCTTAAGTCAGCCTTGGGAAATAAGGGAAGTATTCTTACCATGTGGTGTACTTACACGTCATCTGTTGGCGCTGGTATACTTTTGCATGTAACTCATTTCAACTCTTTTAAGATGATACTCATTATTTAACACTATTATTTCAAGAGCGGGCAGTGTGGGTTTCTTGGGAAGAGTTGTTTTTTTTGCTCATGCCATCTGGATCTGGGGAGTGGCCCACTTGAGCCATTTCTTAAGGAATCCTTCCCTTTCCCAAAATTACTCTGAATCAGTGAAGAAGCACTCACTGCATAAATTGATATACCACTTGACTAATGTACATATTGTCATATCTTTAAAAATTATACATATATATATAATCTATAGAGAAGACAAATCTATCAATAGCAAGATTCTACTTTAATAGTACACCAAAATAATATATTTGCTAGGATTCACATGTTCCTAGAAATATAACCCAAGCCTGGTATGAAATGTAATTTTGTCTGTCCAGTACTTATCTCTATAAGATCAAAGAACTGATGTGCACTTGACCCTTGAATAACATGAAGTTTAGGGGCACTCACCCTCATGCAATAAAAAATCTGTATAACTTTGCCTTGCGGAAACTTCAGTGGTCCCTTGGTGTATCCACAGGAGATTGGTTCCAAGACCCACCTCAAAAACCAAAATCAGCAGATACTCAAGTCCCTTATATAAAATGGCACAGAAGAGTACATTATAGTCGTCCTTTCACAATCCATGAATTTTCAACCTCCAATTAAAAACACAGTTTCGCAGGTGTGAAACCCAGGTTTACAAAGAGCCGACTGCATATTTATTGGAAAAAGCCACATAAAAGTGAACCTGCACAGTTCAAAGCCATGTTGGTCAAGGGTCAACTGTATTTAAGAAATAAGCTTTATTTTTGTTAGTGTTTAACTTGATGGTCTTCTAAAACATTTTTAAAGACTTGTCACTGAGTAATTAGAGTAGGTTCTTCCTCTACCTCCTAGAAAGGTAATGACAAAGAAATAGCCAGATTTCTGTCCTCATGGTGGAAGGGGAGGAAACTTTCAGTATTTGCTAATGGGTTAAACTGAAGTTATTTTCGACTGTCAGTGAAAAGCTCTGTTTAAATATTTAAAAAATATATTTTAATGGGAAACAAATTTGGGGGTTTTAAAATTTTATTGTCTGATTTAGATCTTAAGTAACTGGAGAGAAGAGCGATACCAAGACGACATGAAAGCACGGCAGATGATGCACGAAGCATTGCAACTTCGCCTAAATTTGGTAAGACACTTCTATGTGTTCCCTGAGTTAAACTTATCTAAAATAGCTTCCCACTTCTCCTACGGCCACAAGTGTTTGTGGCAAGGCGAGGCCTTCTGCTGTTTGTTCTCTGTAACTACTCCTGTCTCGCTAACCTTTTGTTTTCCGGGCTGCCCTCCTTCCTGTCTGGTCTGACCTTGGGCTTGGACTGCAGTCGTATTTTCAGCATTGATTGCCTTCTGCAACCCCTGCCCCAGAGAGTCTCTCCTTTTTGGCTTCTGCTCAGAGGAGGTGTTAGAGGACTATTATTTTGAGATGAATGTTAACCTTTACTATGCTTATTTAAAAACCATCTTAAAATGCCATTTAAGTCAACATTTTATCAAACATTCCATCAAATTGATCATAAAAACAAATCCTACCTGGAATGTCTACAGAAATTTAAAATTTCCTCACACATTGAACATTCCACTGAATCCCCCCTGCCGTCCCCAGCACTGGACAAGCCAGATGAAGGCTACTCCGGAAGATGGCTTGCCTGATATTGGGCAGCGGATTTTAACTTCATTCCCACGTGTGAATGAGTTGACCGCAGGCCAAGCCTCCTGCACATCAGTACTTTTGTGTTACTGGATATTTCCAAGTGTTATGACAACAGGCTTGAATTCCATTGTAATTGACAGCACAGAGTTGTAGATAATTGCATTACATGCTTTTGACCTATTCATCATGCAAGTGGGTGTCCTGAAAACTTAGGAATGAAAGAAAACTAATTATACTGGTTTGTAGTAGTAGTTATATGTGGATTTTCTACTGAAAGGAAACTCATTGCCCCAATCCTCTGCATTTTTAGGGGTCAGCTGTAATTCTTATTGATGATATGGCCATACTTGGGTGCTCCTTTTTTTCTTTTTTGAGCTTTTTCAAATTAACCAGAATTTGGCTACGTAAAGTGACAGGTTGGTATTTTTCTCTTTGACAAAGGGCACATTTTTTCATTGTACTGTTTATGTGCAGGTGGGAGGAATGTTTGACACGGTGCAGAGGAGCACCCAGTGGACAACAGACTGGGCGCTGCTCCTCCTTCAGATCATCACTTCCGGAACCGTGGACATACACACTAACAAGTACGTACTTACTGTTTCACCTTTAGTTTGATATACTGACGACAAATTCTGCTGCATCTTTTAGGTATCATTAAAAACTCTATGCCTTAACCCTGGTTGGTGTGGCTCAGTGGGTTGAGCACTCGCCTGCAAACCCAAAGGTACTTGAGTTGATTCCCAGTCAGAACACATGCCTGGGTTGCAGGCCAGGTGCCCAGTTGGGGGCGTGTGAGAGCCAACCAATCTCACATGTATTTTTTTCTCCCTGTCTTTCTCCCTCCCTTCCCCTCTCTAAAAATAAATACATAAGATCTTTAAAAAATAAAAATTCTGTGCCTTAAATAAAAATTCTCAGTTAGTTAAAAGTATCTTGTTTTTTTGTTTTGTTTTTGTTTTTGCTTTAAGGTGAAGATAATTATTTTCTGTCCCCTCTTAGTGAATTATTTACAACAGTTCTTGATATGCTGGGTGTTTTAATCAATGGAACATTGGCCTCTGACCTGTCAAATGCATCCCCAGGGGGGTCTGAAGAGAACAAACGTGCATACATGAATTTAGTAAAGAAGCTGAAAGTAAGTTTGTGACCTGCTTATATTATGAGCTCAAATTGTTTATGGATTTGTTATTCAGTACATTTTATCTAATTTACTACTCATTAAACTAAATGTTTTTTGTTGCATTCAAGTTAACTGGTACCCCAAAGTAATAAGCATATAACTAGATGATTTTTCTTTTAAACTTTTATATTCATAAAACATGTTTAAATTTTTAAGGAAGTTTAGAAATGCATCACCAAACGTCTAACCCAAATGCCAACATTAGATTTAGGATAAACTTGGGCGTGGACTAGCACATGCAGTTGAAAAATAGTCAGTTGTATTGATAGTTCTAAATCTGATTAATTTTACTAACGACTAACACAGTCTTTGAAATAAATTGTAAAAAAAACAGCACAGGAAAAAAATTAATATATCGGATGACCTTACAATAAAATAACTAACAGTTACCTTGTGGTTTGACTCTGCATTCGAGAATGTGTTCGGTGCTGCAGCTCCTGACTTCTGATTGCAATTACTACCCAGGATTTTTGTCATTTCAGCACTATGACATTGTTGCGTAACAAGAGTGCCTTTTTATGTCTTCTGTTGTCTACCAGAAATGAAGGAAATGAAACACACTCACTACTCTAAATGAGAGCTGCACCATAGACCATGTTCCAAGTTAGAGAACTTTGCAGCTATCTAAAAGGAAATGTCTCATAAGGGAACTTCCTTCTTGGTAACTTTTGCCTTCATTGTTATTTCTATTCCACTTCTCTTTTCTTTCTCTCTTTTTTTTTAGAAAGAGCTGGGAGACAAGCGGTCTGAAAGTATTGACAAAGTTCGACAGTTGCTACCTTTGCCAAAACAGACATGTGATGTCATCACTTGTGAACCTATGGGTTCCTTGATTGACACAAAGGGAAACAAAATTGCTGGATTCGACTCTATAGATAAAAAACAGGCAAGAGTAAATGTTTGTTTCTCATATATATAAACTTATAAAAACAGAATTATCTTCTTGTCTTTCTGTAAAGCCTGTAAAACATCTTCATATTAGTTTCCTGATTTTTAAAAGCATATTCATATCATTGAAGTGTAATGGTTATTGGTATTATTGTAAAATAAGTCACATCTTTCAAGAGCTTCATTTAAAACTGTATTTGAATTAAGTGAATTTATATAAGATATTAAACAGCATTTTCTATAATACAGAAGAATAGTATGTGACACTTTCAATGAACATGAGCAACGACAGGTTTCCAGAATGACAGAGATGAAAGACAGTGCTCCTCCTACCATCCAGAGGTAGATGGACAGTTACAATTCGGTGAGATTTGGGTGCCGTGTTACAGAGTGTTAGGGGACCCTGAGAAGGAGCCGTCACGCTCAGATGAGAGGTTGGTCATTGGAGCAGTGTCTCCAGGTAAATTGGCACTTGAATCATTTTTGAAGGCTTCAGAGTTAGCTGGGAGATGGGAAAATGTGGTACAGGTAGAGTTAGCTGGGAGATGGGAAAATGTGGTACAGGTAGAGTTGGCTGGGAGACAGGAAAAAATGTGGTACAGGTAGAGTTAGCTGGGAGACAGGAGAAAATGTGGTTTATTCAGAGTTTATTTAAATAAACTCTGAACAGGAGTTTATTCAGAGATGTGGAAAGCTATGCTCATAGAACAAATGCACTGCTGCAGTGATTCAAAACACCTTGAGTACCAAGGTGTACCCATGCATTCGTGGAGAGAGAAGAAGCTAGAATCGTGAGCAAGTTGCATTTGCAGTACCAGTGGGCTCTCAAGTGGTGAGACATTTAGAAGCGTTTGGGGATGTGGTCTTGGCACCCAGAAAAGAAGTCTAATCTCTGGACATAATAGGAAGCATGCAGATGGGGCTGAGCCTTGGTTTTGGGTGAAGCCACTCACGGAAGAAGAGCATGTGTGGATAATAACAGGAACACTCATATTTTCTGGTGTGCCTGAGTAGTTATTTTCAGGGTCATGTTGAAGAAGAGTATTTTCAAATTGTTATGCCAGGGTAGGTTCTATGGGACATCACCAATTCATGTTAAAAATAAACTGTTTGTCGAAACAGAATAACATTTTCTCCTCTGAATTCAGTAGAAAGAAGCTTGAGTTGAAAGACTATTTCTACCTGCTGGTACAAGTTAATTCTGTAATAACATGACTTAACTCTTCAGAGACTGGCCTACTAAGTACATGAAAGGTGCCCATATAGAGTCAAGTCCATACGTGTTTGCGTTGAAGTTTATCTGAGCTCAGTGAGAGGCTGAATGTAACTTGACTGTTAAGTTTTATTTTATCCTAAAAGCAGTAAATGTTTTATCCTAAAAGGTTTATAACTGATCATAATTTAGTATAGTAAGATCAGCTTTGTAGCATTTCTTAGATATTATTTTTTGCTTAAAGAAAAACTAAATGAAAAAATGCCATTTTATAGTAGCAAGTGCTGGACTTGTCTAGTGTTACAACCTGAACAGAACCTCAGTGGTATAAAGAACCATAGAACTGCATTTTAAGGTGTGGATTCTAACCTCTGACCTGTCGTAATGTAGCTGTGTTCCCTGGACTAATTAATCAGTTAGCCTGTCTGCTGTGTGCTAAAGTTCTGTCCAAGGCCCATACCAGCCAACATGTTCTCTGAATCCATGTCCTCAGAGAGTCTGGCCTCCAATCAGGAAAAGATATGAATGCATGGTCATAGACTGTTATTTTACACAGGGTCTCCAGGTGTCCACAAAGCAGAAGGTGTCCCCATGGGATTTGTTTGAGGGTCAGAAGAACCCAGCGCCTCTGTCCTGGGCCTGGTTCGGGACTGTCCGAATGGACCGTAAGGTGATCAAGTATGAGGAGCAGCATCACCTCCTTCTGTATCACACACACCCCATGCCCAAACCCCGGAGTTACTACCTCGAGCCGCTGCCCCTGCCTCCTGAGGAGGAAGAGGAAGAGCCCACATCTCCCATCTCTCAGGAACCAGAGAGGAAATCAGCTGAGCTGTCAGATCAGGGAAAAACCACAACAGATGAGGAGAAGAAAACAAAGGGAAGGAAGCGCAAGACAAAATCAAGCTCAAGAGTCGATGTAAGTACGGGAAGTAGAGGGATCTTTGGCTCGTGAGTGTCTGGTAGAAGATTTACTAGTGTCCAAATTATATTCCCAGCAACATTGCTGAAAGTAGTAGAAGCCTTTTTGTAAGAATTATGCTAATGAGGTGCTGTCATAATTAACAAAATCAGGATTATAGCTCTTGATTTTTCTTCCTCCACATTTCATAACTATTTAATTTTTGGCTTCCATTGTGAATAATATTTAATATTTCAGTACCTCGTAATTTCTCAAATTTAGAACTTTTTCAGACCTATAAAATCTCATCCTCTATATTTTTTTATTATAAGTCATGTCTAAAATAGTTACAGTTGGTAACTATTTTGAACAGTTGGTATCTGTAACGTATTAAAAGGAAAAAGAACTTTTTGCCTTTCTCTCGATAAGTCTCCATCTAATATATTGAATAGGATATTTCTGAGATTTCAGTTTACCATTCCACCATACTCTCCTGTATAGTCTACTTATTTACCATATTTTGATACATTATACGAGATAAAATAAACATAATCTAATACTATTTCACTTATTGTTTGCCTATTAGCCTCCCCTACTTACAGCAACATATTCTTGAAAAAAAACCCAGAAATCTGTAAGATGGTAACTCAGAAATAATTTTATAGAACTTACAGAATCAATATATAAAGTACATTTCCTTTTAACCTCACCTGAAAAATACTTGAGAGCTGATTTGAGACATTTTTCTATGAAATTCAAGGAAATGTTTTTGCTGTGCAGTAGAAAAAATACTTACAATTTAGTGTTTAGAAATCATGTTTACTTAATGTTGTTGTTTGTGTCCAAGCCCATGTGTATTTTTCTCTCTGATAGCTTGGTGATTAGTATTATTCTAGAATTGATCACCATGATTTTCAGATGTCACCTGAATGTCAGTGCCATCTTTTCATGTGGTCTTCCTACCAGTATTCCTTTGTCTTGAAGGAGTGCTTAATAAGGTCCAGACTGCCACTCCCTGAAATCTGGGCCTCCCAGCCCGTCCAGCCACACAGATGGACTTCTGTTCTTTTCAGGTGTAAAAGACCTAAAACTCATCTCATTCCCCAAGTGAGTCTTGGTCATGTCTCCTCCTCCCACACTACTCCTGAGGCTGCCTCTTCCCAATGGGATGTAGTACAGGTTTTAATGTCCTGACATTTGTTTTTCCTTCATTCTTCAGGGCTGAACTAGAGAAGGAGGGGTGGCAGGGGAATTGAGACATGCAATTGTGACCCTGAGAGACTTTTGGTTCCTGTAAGGAAGAGGAAGCCCTGAGCCAGAGGCCTGGAGTGCAAGGGGGATGATTGCGTTTGCAGGATAGGGGTGGAGTCTGCTCCTACACAGTGCTGTCTTCCGCATTGGAATACATACCATCTAGGCTGGCTGGTTCTGAAGTATTGTGGGCCTTTGGCATGAATCCGATGCAGACCCCATGTATCAGGAAGACCTTCTAAGATGAAACGATTGGGAGACTGCAACTAAAAATGCTCTTTCAGCTGTGGTCGGTGGCACATACTGATATTTTAAATGTGCTTTTAGTATTTTAAAAACAAAGTTTAGAAAAGACTTTTTTCCCATCTTCCTCCACTGTAACCAAGTACATTTTAATCAAGGAAAAGCTTTTAATTTAAAAGAGTATTTTGCAGAGATATATGGAGACTCCTGCCTTCCCTGTCCCCATTTATAAAAATAGCCTTACTTACTGAGATAGGAGTTACCTCTAATAATGAGATGCGAAGACTTTGCATTCATTATCTGTGTGCTGTGTGGAGTTAAGTAACTTTTTTTTAACTTTATGTTGAAGGAGTACCCACAGAGCAACATATACCGAGTGCCTCCTAATTACTCGCCCATTTCCTCCCAGATGATACACCATCCACAGTCTACCTTGTGGGGCTACAACCTCATGGGTCAGCCCCAGCAGCCTGGCTTCTTCCTTCAGAACCAGTCTCTTACTCCAGGTATGTGAAGAGCACAGTCATGTCACTGGAGATGGAAGGAAGCTTGACCATCTCATGTGTGGTTTCCTTGCTCTTGAAGTTCAGGAGCTGAGTGCTCAGCTGACATTTCTGCAGTTCTTTTCTTTCCTCCTAAACATTTTTGTCCTCCTAAAATGAAGTTTCAGTTATGAGTTTGTGTGCTGATTGTGAAATCTTTCTCCAGTGCTGTGAGGACAGTAGCCACTAGTGAAAGTCTTAAGCTGTGAGTTATACAGTTGTTCAAAGTTTTATGTTTTGAAATTTGTGTACATTTTTATCAGATATAGTTCTTACCAGCATTTTAAAGATTAGACAGTATTACACAATGTTTTAAAAATATTTTCTTATGTTTTGAGTTTTAAATTATTTGTGCTATGATGGATTTCAGAAATTTAGTTCAGCAAATGATTGAGATATTATCAGCAAGGAAAACTACCATATCCAGAGTAAACATTCCTTACTTTAGTATTGCTTTGATTCAAGCTTAGGTAGTTTTACATCTGGAATGAAGTTTTTTTTTTAATAAAAAGTACTCTTAGTTAGGAAAGGATGTAATTTTCTTTCTAAAATATAGTTTGCCTAGGTTAGAAAAGTGGATTATTTTGAGCTCTCAGTCTGCATTTTGTTAGGATGTGCCATTCTAATATGTTTTTACTTATTATATTCTGTAGTATAGTAATTTTTTTATTGTAAGTTGAACATGACATTTTGAGGCCTAGGGAAGAAAATACTTATTCTTGTTTTAGAGCAGTGGAGACTCCGTGTTTTGTCCTACAAATTAGTAGTTTTGAGAGCTGGTCTAGGTGTTGCAGTTCTATTTTATAATCTGGCTCTTCTGTTTTCCTGCTGTCTAATCTCAGCCAACTCTTAATTTCTGAGTGCCTGATCATTTTATAGCTTAATCATCTATAAAATGGATATGCTGTCATACACCTTCATGGGGTGGGTGATTCGGTTATTCATATCAACAAAAAAATATTGGGCATGAGGGTATGCAGTAAACAAGGTAGGTAAAATGCCTCTTTTTTTTTTAAGTATATATTATACACACATACACACATGTGTGTGTGCATAGTGTAAAGTAAATTTTTTAAATGTAGCACACAGAAGATAGCCTGACACACCAAACATGTTAGGTAAATGGTCCAAATGCATTCTCACTTGAGGGCAGTGCTCCCACAGTCCTGTGCCCAGAGTGCTGTCCCTGGGACATCTCCATGGCTTCCTGCCGGCCTCCCTTGGGTTTGCTCAGATACCCCTTTCTCAGCGAGGCTTCTGCCAACCACCCCGTGCTCTCTTCCCCTTGCCTTCTTTCTCTTCCTCCACAGTAGCTGCACTTGCTTTTATGCTATATAGTTACTTCTCAGCCTGATCTAGAATGTTATCCTCTTTGAGTGCAGGTGTTTTTACATTTTGTTTGCTGTAGGGTCCCCAGAACTTACAGCAGCATGTAAGTAAGCTCTTAAGAAGTAGGCTGAGTGAATAAACACAGACTACAAAGAACAAACTAGACTTGATAAATGTGGAAAATAATACATGATAGTCCCTTCTTTTGACTTCCTGTTTAATTCCAAGGTCCTGTGAAGTTTCTGTCATTTTCAGCTTTGTAGATAATAGAGTCAAGTACAAGGACTAGCTGTGAATGAAGGCTAATTACTTCATAAAGGCACATACCCTTTCACCCTAGAGTGCTATTAAAGGTATTTGTAAGTTGGGGGGCTTGGGTATTAGGTTAGTCCTGGGTATGATAACAAGTAAGAAAAAAGTTGGAAGAAAACAACTATTTATGAGGGTTGGATGTGTCAAATAACAGATTTTCATAAAAATATGAGTCTTATAAAATTAAGAAAACATATGTACAACATGCTTCCATTTATATGTACCCTATTTTGCCATGTATAATATGTATTTTTATGACCAAATTTTTGAGATGTGTATTATATATGGGAATGATTACATACCAGGGGTGTAACAATGGGCATAATAATCCCATGTAGAATGCACACAGAAATGTGGGTGCGCATTATACACAGTGAAACACGATACTTAAAATGCAAAATAGTGTTTCTGGGTACACACAGACACTCCTTTACCAGTCTCTCTTGTTTATACACACCCATGTGGTAAACTTATAAGGGGATGTATCGGAATAATAAACATCAAATTCAGAATAGCATATGGAGAAGGGGAGGAAAATAATTAGCTAGGCATATACAGAGGCTTCAACCATATTTTTAATATTTTTAATTGATTTGGAAGAGATTACAGAAAAGTTAGAAAAGAAATTAAAAGAACATAGACTGTGGTCTTATCTTTAAAAAGAATGTTCCTTAATTTTAAAATGTGTCCATTGAGCTTTTATGTATTAGTTCTAATTCTTGCTTCAGCCTTGCCATATGTTGCCGAGACTTCCCATTTTTTCCCAAATGACCATGAAGTACTTCTCAATTACTTTGTGAGTCATGTTGCTGGTTGTGGTGCTGAGTATTTAAGAAAATGTTGGTTTTTCAGGTAAACAGCTTTAAAATGTTTGTTTCTATCATATAACTTCCTTTAAAAAGATGAAGCGAATGAGGGATTGGCACCCACTTTGAAGTCAGTGAATGTTGAATGTTTTTTCCCCTTTGAACTCTTAAAGACATCCGACAGATTGCATATGCAGACTGTTCAAGGATGTTCCTTGGTTTCTTAGCATCACTATAATCAACATTTCTTACTTCATTTGTAGCCTTCAAAAAAGATGTGTTTTACTTTTAAAATCAAGGTATTTTTAAGTTTCCAAGCATTTCAGGTTTTTAAAGTATTTTCATGCCTCTGTACTATAAGATAGGCATTTTCATTTCTTATAATAAAGAAGATTAAAGTTCTGCCTTGGTTGGTGTGGCTCTGTGGATTGAGTGCCAGCCTGAAAACCAAAAGGTTGCCGGTTCAATTCCCAATCAAGGCACATGCCTGGGTTGCAAGCCAGATCCCCAGTAGGGGGTGCACAAGAGGCAACCACACATTGATGTTTCTCTCCCTCTCTTTCTCCCTCCCTTCCCCTCTCTAAAAATAAATACATAAAAATCTTTTTAAACAAGAAGCTTAAATTCTGTGAGCTTTAAACTTGTTTAAAATTAGGAAGGGTTTCTGTGCCTGGCTTAGGACACTTGGCAAAGTGCATCACAAAGGCAACACGTTTTCTGCAAGTACTATGTCCCTTAGGGCTGGCCTTCCATCATTTGAAACCCACATGATTCTGGAAGTATGCCAACGTCTTTGCTTCAGGCATTTCACTTTACCAGTTCAAGCAGGCCTCTGTGAAGCCTGAAGCCATTCCAATATTATAATTCACTCCCATATCACCCTCCCATGCTTTGGAAATTATGCAGTTCTTTTATAGCAATGGGCCACTGCCTTATTTTCTATTTTGCTTCTTAAGCGAGGCCTTAGAGAATGAGGTTTCTGTGTTTTGATAAAATAAGGAAGACCGCTGCATTACTGTGTCGAAAGCCCTTTCTTCTGGTTGGTTTTACAGGTGGCTCCAGACTGGACCCTGCAGGCTCCTTCGTCCCCAGCAACACCAAGCAAGCTCTGTCAAACATGCTGCAGCGGCGCTCGGGCGCCATGATGCAGCCACCCTCCCTGCACGCACTCCCTTCGCAGCAGCAGCTGATGCAGATGAAGGCTCTGCAGCAGCAGCAGCAGCAGCAGCAGCAGCGGCTCCTCAGGCAGGCCCAGACCCGGCCATTCCCACAGGTTCGTCCAGATCCACAGTGGCGTCCCTCACACTCCATGGTGTCCTCTAGCTAGGGATGTGTGTGAGGGTGAGGCAGCTTCTTCCTGCATTTGTATCCCTGGCTACCTGGGGGACTGCAGGAAAAGCTCTCTTACACAGGTCGATAAACACGTTTTCTCCCTTCCATTTTACTCTTATCATTGATCAAATAAGAACCCAAAATGTCTTAGGTTCATTAAAAGTATGCCTTAAAGAAAAAAGAAGAGCTAAGGACTCTGATCACTTAGGTTTATAGGGGTGTCAAACTCATTTTTACTGGGGACCACATCAGCCTCATGGTTGCCTTTAAAAGGCCGAATGTAATTTTAGGACTCTATAAATGTAACTATTCCTTAACAGTTAAGTGAGAGCTTGGCATTGTCGCCAGGTAGAAACAAGGTGCTGGGCCAGATAAAACAAGGTGAGGGCTGGATTGGGCCCTGGGCCTTGTGTTTGCCACCTGTGAGTTAGAAGCAGCAGGACTTTCATCCTCGAAGTGACCTTCTCTGAGCACTCATTCAGTATTTTAATTGTTCAGTACACGTTCTGTGCTCCTGTAGTTCACTCTTACATATTATTATTCAGTTCACTACTTTGACGTTGTGTCTCAGGAGCCCTGATGTTTGTTAGGTTTTTTTCCTATAGTGACTGGGGCAGGCTGTGTTTTTATTGTGTACTTAATGAGCTGAATAGTTAATAAGCTGAATTACAAATAACTGTCAGTAGTGCATATCTTTAGATTAATTCTTGATTTATATTATTTCTGTGTTTATGCCCTGTAATCCATTATCTTTCACTTTTTAGATGATTTTAACAAAATAATGGTAGAAGTCACATAAAACTTGGTATAGACTCATGAAACCCTCAAATCTATACAAATACACTAAAATAAACAGGGGAGATTGTGACTTCTTTTTCTAGTTTCTATATATTTTTGTATTGTCTAATTTTTCTTGAAATTGCATTATTTTGATGATGATAGTAATAATAATTATATTTATAAGCAGCGAATACTGATGAAGCACTTACTATCGGCCAACACACTCCCAAGCACTTATAAAATGTACAGTTACCGTAGATCTCACCACAGTCCTATGAGCTAGGCATTTCTGTGGTCATCAAAGGAAGCAGCCATTCTTTAGGTGTATCCTACACTAAGAAGAACCACAAAATTTTCAAATTAGCAAGAAATTCCATTGCTTTTAAAAAATATTCTTTGTATTTTGCATAATTTTCCATGCATATCTCCACTGTATAACTTACAGTACGTCTGTGTCCTGTCCACCTAGTATTTGGAGTGTTGGGGATACAAGGGTTAGTTTTAGTTAGACATCCTTTAAAATGATTCCTTTCTTACCTGTGTTATAAAGACAAGAAAGAGGAAACTAGCTGAACTGCACGTGAATGCAGGCAACAGTCACTACAAGCTTGTATCGCCCTGCACTCTGGTGCCGCAAACTCTCTGGATGGCAGGTAAAATGGCAGCTATTTGCCTAAGTTGCTTCTTATACAGAAAGGATGAAGATTTGATTAAAACATTTAAAAGGGTTTGACGATACTTAAATAATCAGAAAGTTTAGAGCCATTTAAAGCCTCAGTGGAATTTTTGCTTTTCTTGGGGATGATTGTTTCATTTTTTATGAAGATACCGTATTTTTCAGACTATAAGATGCACCTTCCCTTCCCACACTCCCCCTCAAATTTGGGAGGAAAATGGGGGTGCATCTTACAGTCCAAATGCAGCTTTACATTTACATTCGTGAAATACTCTATTATTTGTTATTAAATATTTTACCACACTTTTTGCTTCAAAATTTTTTTCTATTTTCCTCCTCTAAAACCTAGGCGTATCCAAAAAAATATGGTCCAAAAAATACAGTGAATTAAAATTTTACTAGAAATTGAGTAACCATCTTACTAGTTCCCTTTTAAAGTAATTTAAACCTAACTAAAATTTGCCTTCCAGTAAGTTTATGTAGTCTTTCATGTCTGCCTTTTTATCGCAACATATAATTTGCCTCATTGATTGCCCAATTTCAAATATTACTGCTAACTTCAGTTTTAAGTTGATGTAGGTGGTTCCTAGTGTCAGGGAAAAGCTCACTGAGAAACACATCTTCCTGAAAAGGTTATTTCCCCATGGCAAGCGATTTCCCCAAAGGCAACTGTTTTTTGTTTTTTTTTTTTAAGGAACTTAATAGAATAATGTGCATGTAATCAAAGACATCTTGTATATCTGGAGAAGGCAGGCTTATGACCCAAAGCATACCTGGAGGGCCCCATTAATGCCACACTTTCCTCTGACCACCCACAATACCCGACTCCATTCTTTCCCACCACCTGGAGTTAAACTGCCTGTACTAAAAGGAATGAACTGATAGTTCTTTCTTTTCTAACCAATTCTTTTGTACCAACTCTGTCACAGTGTTGGACTTTTTCTTTCTTCTTTTTTCCTTTTGAGAAATCAGGCATCCCTTCTTCAAGTAGTAAAAGTTCAACTTCATAATACTGCTTGTACAATACTCATCCCCCCCCATCTTATTTTTTAACAGTTGGAACTCACATTAGAGTCTCTGAAGGGCTCTCAGAAGCAAATACATTTTTTTCTTGATCATCGTTCTTAAAGCGCTAGATAACTGAGGAAATAACATAAGGATGAGAACTGCATGCATGGTGCAGTCATCTGGTTGAGTGGTGCTGCTCAGAGTGAATGAGATTTGCTTGTAGCATCTGCCCTGCACCTAGGAGGGTGTGTCCTAATAGGTCAGGTACAAACTATTAATACACCTGAATCTGGCCAAATACATTTTTTTCCTGTGGCAGAAAAAAATTCTTGTGCTAATTCTTAAAAGCCTAGAATAAAAACAATTAAATGGCATATAACTGATACTGATAAATTGTTTATGATATGATTCTGGCTTCCATTAGTTCTAATAAATACAGACATTATATTCTTCATGATAGAGGAACATTGATACTAATTCTGGCAGGGGCATTTTCTCAGGTCAGATGCCTACACACAATGCGATTCTCTCTAGCTACATAACTTTTACGGTTTTTTATAGGGAAAATTATATTCTCATTTTTCTTCTTATCCTAGCAATTTTCTAAGTACGGAAATTCATTTTCTTAAATGTAACTAATGTGTTGGAGAATTTCCATTTATCTTAACCTTGAAGACTGACCTTGGAATTTTAGCAGATGCTTTTAAAGATTGACAGCTTTCCCCAGGCCTTGGATGTGCCTGCTTCCCAGGCCAGTTGTCTACGAATCCCATGGTCGCCACCCTCTTCTTATAAGATCAGGCATTTGAGTCTCAAAATATTTTGTATTATCTTTTCATTCACTCAGGGTAGAAATCTATGGGGTGTTTATTGAGCGACTCCATATTTTGAGTGTCTGTTTCTCAAAGCCCAGAGCTAACTAGCAGCCTTCGCCTTCATCTCTTCCCATCTAAGGAAACAAGTTGACGTATGTAGAAAGCATCCAGTCTTAGGTGGTGCACAGTGGAATTCAGAATACCATTATAAAATAACTCCAATTCTGCTGCAGAAACTGAATATAAGTTTCAGTTGGTCATGGAATTTTCTATTACAGACCATCTTATATTTCCTCAGGAATGTATTAAGACATTGGTATAGTGTCTATAAAACAGATGCTAAACAGTAATATTGGATGTTGTAAGGTATTTTTAATCAAGTTATCTATGTAATGATTGTTATATAATCAAATGTATTTTCTTATAGCTTTACTGCGTATCAACATGCACAAAGATGTTTTAGCAAGGAAACTTGTTTTCGTTCTTCTTAGTTACAGTCTTCATCCCTTTCCTCTTCATTCCTTTCTCTGTGCCTTGTTTTAAAATGGGACTCACTATAGTGACTGTTATCTTTCTATGCCTCAGAGCCTCACGTATAAAATGGAGCCAATGCAATATTTACTTTATAGGGTTCTTGTGAAATGAATTATTTAATGTATTTGACAGCACTTAGAACAGTGGCTGGCTGTGGTAAGTGCTCAAAAAATGTTAACTGCCATAGTTATTATCACTGTTTTATTACAGTTATTTTATGGTTGTATTATTTCAGAAAAAAATTCCTATCCTATAAAAATATTTATTTTCTTAAATATGTTAAGAATTAAAAGAGAATAAAACCACATTAAAGGCTTTACTTGTCTAATTGCATTAATTATCCCTCGGTGGTCACCAGTAAAAGAGACCAATAAAAAGGAATGTTGTTTAGTTTTCCTAATAGCCATTTTGGTTTCTTAGACCTGTATGTTTTCACTGTCTAAATTCTGTGATACAAACTTCAGAGGGGCTGATTCCAATTTCAGAATTAGAAAGTGTACTGTATTTTTTTTCTGTATAGCCTATGAGAACTATTACAAAATATAGAATGGTGGTTCCATAACAATTCAAAATGCTGCTTACATTGTTTCCCAGTAACCTTTTTTATATCCAGTATTTTTCTTCTAACAGAAGGAACTCCCTTCCCCACCCCTAGTACATCCATCTTCTGGGGAATGAGCTTTTTCACAGAGGAAAAAGGACTTAATTTCATGCCTTGGTTTATGGTATCATTTTACCCTGATTTCTCCCTTTTCGTGCACAAAATCATTTTGTGTAATAATCAGTGCCAGACAGTATGAGTCCAAAGGAAGATAGACAAAGATATATTTAGCTTAAATGGATGGAGAAAACTATGAAAGGGAGCAATTGGTTATAGACTACAGATAGTAAATTGGAAGGATTTTCCTGACATTAGAGAGGAAGATTACTGTCAGCAGACAGAAATGATGTGCCCAGTTGTACGTCGTAGTTATTTGTAAGAACACTAATTTATCGCCAGTGGAGCAGGTGCCATTATTATGTATCCAAATAAAGGCCTTGGGTAACTTAATGAAAGAGCAGTAATGGCTGAGTGAGAGGCTCCCAAAGTTGTTAACTTCATAGCAAAAGTGAATCCCACACTGCTAA